GCTGTAGTTTAGTTACAAATTATTCGATTCTAATATTGTTTGCGGCAAAAGATTCGCGAAAGAAAAAAACTATATATATATATATATATATATATATATATATATAATATATATATATATATATATAGTGTAATGACGAAAACCGAAACTGGAACTCTCTCTGGCACAGACTCGCTTGCTAGGAGGAAGCCGAGGAAGACGAAGCAGAATAAGAACAGCCGGCCTGCAGCAAAGGCGTGTGTCTTATTTCTCGTCCTTACAATGGCGCAGTCGACGAAGAAAACGGCTTACGTCCCGGCTTCGTCATCCAGAACGCCCGCCGACGTGCAGCCGCGGTAAGCGTCGCTTGAGGACGGCGTCAAGCCCTCCTCGGCAGCTGTTCACCTGCCGCCACTGACACCACCGTTCGGGGATGGCGCCAAGGCCTCCTCGGCGGCTCTAGTATACCCATCACCGGTATTTCTTCATGAAAAGGGACACCGTCTACGCGTCCTTCGCCACGGATTGTGCCGTGAGCACAGGTCCACAAGTGAACCCTGCGGCACAAGCCACCTGTCCGTACCCTCGTGGATCATCGGCAGCGTGGTTCTCTCATCGTAAAAACGCTGTTCACGCTTCCTCGATCATGGAGCCGACAGCCCTCCTGCAGCCGGGAGCACCTGTGCCGCCATTCGGGGACGGCGTCCAGGCCTTCTCGATGGCTCCTGGGCAGGCTTGCCCCGGCCCCACCACGACAGTACATGGCCTGTCGTTGACCGGGAATGCCGTTCACGCTTCCCACTGCGACAACGTCCTGCTCAGTGCTTCATCGGCACCTCAGCCGCTCAGGGGTGCTGTTCAAGCTCCCTCGGCCGAGGGTACCACAGCAGTGAGTACGCTGATCGGGGAACACGTCCCCACTGGCTCCGCATGTGGGCCGCCCGAGAGTGCCACCGAGCTTTCGCGCACCATTGCGCGACTCCGCCTCGAGGTCGGCGCCCTGACAGCGTCGAGTTCTGCGATATTCCCTGCTGCCTTGCCGGGACTTCACATTATCGATGAGGCGTTGGCCGCGGCCGCCTCGCAAGACCATTCAACAACTTCCCCCGAGAGCCGCAGCAAGCTCCAGTATACTCTCGCGGCTCTTTCACACCAACTTGGCTGTGTGGCGTCGCTATTTTCTGGAGCTTCGCCTGCCGTGACACCACCACCGGCTGCCTCCGAGCTACCCGAGTTTCGCGGCTTCCAGGACGATGCCGTCGATTGGGTGGCTACCATCAATGCTCTCGGAGCTCGCAAGGGATGGAGCGACAATCAGAAGTGGTGCGTGGCCTTAGACCGCCTTCAAAATCCTGCTGCTGCGTGGCACAGGTACGAAGGCGTGCGGCAGCAGTCCTGGGCGGACTGGAGCGCCAAGCTCATTGCTGCGTTTGGAAGAATTGAGTCTGACCTCACTGCTACCTCTCATTCTACCCTCGCCACTACCGAGCAAGGGGCTATTGAGAAGCACAACGACGAGGCAGCTGCACCCTCTGCCAACCTGCCCTACCTCGGAGATCAACCTCACGAGGCGCCGCGCCCCCCTACAGCTGTGCCGCGTGCCCCCTCCCCGGACAGCTTCCCAGAGTACCCTGCGGCAATCATCGAGACAAGCTGGACGGTGTACTCCTCCGGGCAGATCTCTGACTCCGCGTCGACACCTGACACACAATTACCTTTGACCCATAGTAAGGAGCCGCACCATCCCCTGCCACCTTTGCCGTCATTGGCCGAGTGCGTGGACGCTCGTAACTTGCCAAATGCCGTCTCCCCTAACGAGCCACAAGTGCCTACTCCACCTGAGGAGGATGCCATCGAAGTCATTCCGGTGCAGTTCACGGTTGCTCCGGATGGCGAGGCAACTGGCCATGTCGACATGAACGCACGTGACGGATTGGCAAAAACCTCCACTTCGACCAGCAGTGCATCAGCGAAGACGCTAGAGCACGACTTGCGTCGCAAGTCTACGCGCAAAGTCTACACAGCGATGTCGCTGATATCTATCGATATAGCCATCGTACCTTCCCTCGCTCTGAACAACGCAGGCGTCCCCGCTCAGTGTGGGCCGCAGTACTGCATACTGGTGTCCCTGCAATGTCATCCAAGCAGCGAAGGGGTAGTCATCGCGATGGTCCGCCACCAATGCGATCACTCCGCACCAGCCAGTATCACCTGCTGGGTTTACATTCTCCAGGTGACTACATTAACTTGCCGCGCGGACGCGACCTGCAGCGACCACCTCGACACAGCCAGGGTCGTCCACCAGAGTACAGGACAGTTCCACAGGACAGCTCGAGGCGTGCACATGACAGACTACCACGGCACTCCCAGTGCCGCCCTCCAGAGAAAATTGCCCTTTGCGCGCTAGCAGTCATGGCCGAGTGTAATGACGAAAACCGAAACTGGAACTCTCTCTGGCACAGACTCGCTTGCTAGGAGGAAGCCGAGGAAGACGAAGCAGAATAAGAACAGCCGGCCTGCAGCAAAGGCGTTGTGTCTTATTTCTCGTCCTTACAATATATATATATATATATATATATATATATATACTCTCTGAAACAAGGCTGGTGCTAATGGCATTCTTTTCGGTCCAAAGGACGTGGAGGCGACTTTGAACAGCAGCAGGATTTGACTTTCGGTAGAATGAAAGTAATAACCTGCGAAATATGTAACGTTCTAAATGTTTCTATACTCAGAGCATATAAGCCAGTATAACAAGCTTTTAAACAACAAAAAAAAAGGATGAATCAATGTGGAGGTATAACGTTCATTTAACCTTGAAGCGGGGCTTCACGGCAGTGTCTATTTTCCCTGGATGGATGTGTTCACAGTACAACATGCCTCCACCGCAGCATAACCACCTCTGCAGGGGGTTACTACTACGCATTGATATTGAATAAGTATTCGAAATTAATGCCGATAACAGGAGACATTACGACCCACGCATGCATGCACACAGTGCGCACATTCAGTACAAATGTAACGGCGTACTATCCCGATGCAAATAAACGTGAACAGAGCGGAAAGCGTGGTTATCAGCTCAGTGGAACTGCTACATGCTTTATCTGTTTCCAGCTGGTGTCACCTCAGCACTATAATATCGTGCTCTGGCTGGCACTTTCGGACCGCGAGTGTGTTCAGAGTGCCAGGCATGACTGGCAAATAATAAACACATGCGGTGCTGGAGCGCAAGCAAATAATAAACACATGCGGTGCTGGAGCGCAAGCTACAGCGGGATTCCCTACTTCCAATACACAAATTATGTCTTGCCACAGCCAAGGTATGCCGCAGTTTGATTGAGTCGAAAGCAAGGCTTTTTGCTGTAGACGTTTCTTTCCATTGCAGTAGCGCTCACCTGATAAAGTTACTTATCACGTGCTCAGACATTATTATGTGCTCCAGACATTCCGCATTGCCAAGGAAGATTTTCTCGAGATTTCACATGGCAGCACAAAATCCCAGGATTGAAAAAATGCGAAACATGTTTACAGCCGTAGTCAGGTTGTGAAGTTTAGCAAAGGATTTGCGGAGCATCAACTCGCGTGGCAGTTCAGAGTGTGCTTCACTGTGCTGGCAATAGATGGCGCGACGCGTATTCTTAATATGGCAGCATGCACTGAGCTCGGTGTGCATGCTAAAATGGAAGTTTTTCTCCCCTCTCTGTCTCCTATCAGAAATAACTAGGCGCAAAGCAGTAACGTTCAATCTTTTACAGCGAAAGCATTACATGGCTAGGCAAAACGAAAATACATATGTCTTCATGTTGCTTGAAACTTCTCCAGTGGCTGTGCAGTCTGCGACATTGTACCCAAGCGCGCACGCCATTGGTTGCAAAGTCAGTGACGTCGTTCACACCATCACAGACATGCCGCCAAGCTCATGCGCAACAGTTTCAACTTCGTTCGTGTGCACTTACGAACACAGACAACTTTCGAAGAAGAGCACCGACAGCAGAATCGTGACCCGTGTTCGCCAAGCCGATTGTGCAGTCCGTCACGAGTACAGACCTGGGTGGCCAAGAGCATGCAGCGTCTGCGCACCGATAATTCGGCAACTTTCTAAGAAGTTCTAAATCGCGAAGCGAAACGCAAATGGCGGATGCTCTAACCGAAGCGCCGAGGTAATACGAGAGATCGAAAGCGACAACGGCGAGTCGAGAAAGTGACGTTGCCGGCAGAGCAGCGTCAACGTGGCAACGGTGAGAACGCGTTCGCCGGGACCAACGCCCGCCTTTTAGCAGGAGTTTCTCGAGCGGCTTTTGGCTTTAGCTGCAACCGCCCATGGCCACCATCCACACGGAGTTATTGGGCGGCAATTTTCTTTCTTCTTACCAATGATGTTTTAATTAACACTGTTAACACAGCCAGCAGGGAAAAAAAAATACATGGCCTAAATAAATGATAGAACAAGCCATTTTCCCCGAGTAAGCCCTACCCAATACTTTTGCAGCCAGGCTGTTTACCTCTAACCCATGTTTTCGAGGGAGAGGGGGGCGTACTCCGTACGGCTCACCACTGTATCGTCGCAGACAGAAATGAACAGCAGTAAGGAAGAAGGGAAAAGAGTATTGCAGCGAGCCTGCCTCAGCGAGGCCATCATCTTTTCTAACACCTTTACTTGGGTGAGTTGGCACATTCTCGGGCAAATGCAGTTCAACTTGGACGAAGATAGGAGACTCTGATAGATGGGACACGTCTCTGTCTATCTGCGTCTCCTGTCTTCACTTAAGTTGCGCTGCGTTTGTGTGACTATCCACTTCAAGCAGCAGCATAACCATTCAACACCTTATTACTTGGTGCAAGTTCCAGACTGATAGCAGCATAACAGCAGTATTGTACACGAAAGAAAGATGGCATTCGAACACTTCACGTCTTACAGTGCAAAACTGTCAGCGAGTAACAGCGTGCAATTTGTGAAGCGCTAGCCCTGTGTCTTTATTCACCGGTTGCGTGCCTGAGAACACGACTGAGAGGGTAATCTATATCAGCTCAAAAAACAGAACATTTAAAAAAGACACACACACACACACAGCGCTGTGTACGTGTCTTTTCTAAATGTTCCGTCTGTTTTGCGCTGATAAATCAGTCTAAATAACCTATATAGTACTACACATTCTGGAACTTGTCCCTTGCCGAAGGTGAGACTATGTCTTGCTGGCCGGATCTAAGAGAGACCTGAAATCATTGCAGGAATAAAAAAGAAACAGCACTACATTCAGTAAATTCAAACAAAGCTTGATGATTAACAGGTGTGCTCAAAAATCAAAACCAAGAATACTCGACTGGAGCTAATGTTTCGAAAAGGGGTTTCGCTTTCATCGTAATGAAAACAGCTTGTTTTTTGTTTTAAGGTGATGTGATTAGAATTCGTAGAACATATCAATCGCTTTGCGTCTGTCTAAACGTAATCAAACAGACTGTGTAATCAGATTCAAGAACTCCGTGGGTTTTTCCGATACCAGTCCACCATCTGTGCCCTTGCTCTTTAACCAGGTTTGTAATGCTGGCTGATGCTGAAAGCAGTGAGTCATTAAAGAAGTCACATGCATACAACAAGAATTAATAAGTGGAAATACTGAGGGAACAAAAGTTGTGACAATAAAAGATGAATTGAGTAACTGCCTTAAATACAATTACGGAAGTAACATAATAAACTCTAAGACAGAGAAGTGTCTGCGAATGCCACAGGTCTGTCAAAAAGCAACTGCTTATCTCAACAATCATCTTTCCATGATTACTGCACGAATGTTCTTCCTTATGCACTCACCCTAAATCCTTCAATGACACAGTTTGAGATCCCCTCTTTGCTGGCTTGGCCTGGACAAAGCAAAAGAATGTAAGTGGCATATCATAACTAACTTTAAAGCCATGAAACATAATGGGAGGCACACAAAGAAACCTTGATCAGTCAGCACACGACGCACCTGTGATGGGTCTGGCTTCCAGCCGATAAAGGACAAGATGTGAAACGTGGCCGGTATAGATCCGTCCTCATTGCCATAGAGTTCTGCACAGTTACAGAAAGCACATTAACAATTTTTCTGTGACCCCTATTGGTAAGATGGCTTAAACAAAGGAATGAGAATTCAAAAAAGTAAATGTTTAAATGCTTAGTAATGAATAATTCAAAAGCCGAGAAATGACGAATGCCAAATACACACACACCAAAACTTATCCGTGAATTGGAAACAAGGCAGCTAGGCAAACATAACAATACTGAAACGCAGTTGTTGATTTCTCCTGCACATTGAAGGCGATGTCTGGACAAACTGTTCCAGTCAGGAACTATCTTAGGAAAGGAACAAGAAGGTGAACACACTTGTCCTTGAAAAAAAAAAAAAGGGCAAATGGTAAAAGCTAGTTACAGGCTCGCTAGCCTTAGGCAGTTGCACATATTTCGGAAGACCCCATAAGAGAAAGCTTTCACCGAACGAAATGTCTTAAAGAACCTTCGTCGAACCACACATATTCATCATCATCCATTTCGTACATAGGATGCAACACTATTGAGGGTACTTGCCGTAGAAGCGTTCGAGCTAGGGATGTGCAAATAGTGGAGTGGTCAAATATTTTCTAATCGATTAGTTTGAACAGTATATAATTTATGATATAAAAAAATGAGCATATTTGCCATGGCCCAACTAACCAGCACAATGTTTTTTGAAATTCAAACAAGGCAAGTGTAAATGTCATTCTTTTTTATTCTAAGTGAAGTGGAAGCAACCCTTTATAGCGGCAGCATATAAATTTCATATTATTGCAAGCAATAACCTGTAAAATGCGTTACATTTGAAATTCACTATGCTTTGGGAATTTAAGCCCTCAAATCCATTTTTTAAGATGTCATGGTAATAGTATATTCATTTATCCTTGAAGTGGGATTTCGCAGCAGCCTGGATTTTTTTTTAAAAGGTGTTTTCATGGCAGAGCAACTCCACATTACAGTTAAACCACCTTTCGATAGGGTTATATGACGTCAAATATAGGACGATTTGTTCCTTTTGAATATACTTCAAAATTTCAAATAATCTGTGCAAAAGTGAATTCGAATACTGTAATATCGATTAGAATGTTTGCAGTGCTCAAATATTTAAGTGTACCTAGTTTGCATAAAAAAATAGTTGCACCATTTTCTCCAACCAAATGTGCATTCCGTTCAAACCCGACCCAGCGTAAAGGATGATGACACAATAGCGCCACATGTATTTTTAGTTTTTCCCAGTTTCTCCCGAAGTAGACCTGTGTGCAATCTGTCGGTTTTGTAACTTAGCAGTAACTTTTCCCATTGAAAAATAAAATAATTAAAGATGAAGGGCATGTTTATCTTTGTTCGACACAAACTCAATGAAAGCAAACAAACAATGTAGTCGAGGAGCGTAAAAGTGATTGTATTCGAAGTATTTTAATGCTTGCATGGCAACCGTGAGTAGAAGTGTTCAATCCCCCTGCTCCTTGAAATTTAAAAATTTAGTATGTGTTAGTATGTGTGACACGCGCACATACCAACATACAAAAAGTACAATCAGCCCCCCCCCCCCCCCCACGAAATTTTTTTTTTCTATTACTGTTTATTAACTGTGTTGTAGTAATTTAGATATAAATGTTAAGTTTGAAAAAATTTTATCGAGCTGATGTCGTGAAAATATGAAAAATGCATTCTGAAATTTCTGACGTGATACGAGGTAATTTTGGCACGAAATTTAAAAATTAAAATTAAGTCTTGATTTTCTTCGCTACTAATAAACTTAATATAGTGAATCATATGGCCTTTGAGTTCACAGGGTGCAGCTTATCAACCTTAAATTGCTCATTATTTCTTTTAAGGGTTAAGTACACAAATTCTGCATCGCCGTTCCTGTGCGCACGGGACAGAAATGCACAAAAAAAGATAAACGCATACCAACTAGCAAAAGTTTCCATTCTTTTACAAATAACGTCCCCTACACCTTCCTTGGCTTCATAATCTGCAGATTTATATTAAGACAGCCCAGTCCAAAACATATTAGAGGGCTTCTACTGTACAGACCTAAACCAAAGCCAAACTTGGCGACTGATAAGTCGTGGTCTCACCTTGGTAAATCGCCGCCGCTGCGACCATCGTATCCCTGTGTAGGTGAGACTTGCGGTTCCACGTCACGTTGTTCTCGGCCATGCCTAGTAGCGGGCGGTCACACGAGACACGGCATGTTGAACGGCGAAACAACAGGTTAAACTTTGTCATACTAAACTGTTGATAATCTCGACTTGATCAATTCCTTGCCTTTCTTCAATTTTTATTTACTGGGAGCTTTTGTGGTTCGAATTCATCTCGTCTCGATATGTATATTAATGTACCATAATGCACACTTTTTATTTACACAGAAACTTTGTATCACCATATGCTTGTGTGAATACCGTAAAATTCTGAACAAGTTCCCACCTCCTTTTTTGGGGGGTCGGGAGGAGAAATATTTCAAATTCGTGCCAATGAGTTAGCAAGCCCTCCAATCTTTCCGGCGTTTTCACTGTTTAATTAACTTTTTTTATTCCCCCGAAGAGGTTGAAAGGTAAGAAGACACTGAATGCATGCATATTAAAGAAAGTATTTGATTTCGAAGCATGGGTGTGCAGTAAACTCCTGCTAAACGAAACTTGAAGGGACCAGAAAAATGTGTTTTACTTAAGAGGAGTTTCGCTTAATGCGAGATAGAATTGGTACAGAATTTAAGTAAGAAAACCAATCTTATCAAGGCAGTTATTCCATTTCAAGCAGCAATTTCGTTCAAGACAGTTTCGCTTGTTTGGAGTCTACTGTACATTCTTCACCCTGAGTGGCTCTTCTGCCCCCATCTTAAATTTCGATTCGTTACTGAGCAAGGGCTCCCTCCATATCTTGTTGAATTATCTTTCACTGCATGGAAGGTGCTTTCTCGGGATTTTACAGTACTGCCTCAACCATATTGATACTGTGTTTATCTTGAAGCCGTTTGTTTCAGTTTTAAGCTTCATGTTTTAAAATAACTACCTGTAAGTAGAAACAGTATTTTGAATGTCAAGTCATGTCTATATTTCTCTTGTTATAGCAGAGACAAAAATCTGCACCAACACGATGACTTACGTTTATGTGTAGTTTGTTTACTCAAAACCCATATCATTGTTTTTGCCTCTCTAATAGAATACCTCAAGAGATTGACAGATGCAAATAAATATACATCGCCACTGATCTTTTGCTACGGGTGCTTGGTGGCCTCCTCACCTTTGAGGTCGGCCATGAGATGGAACGCCGTCGGATAGTTGACTGTCATTTCGTCGGAGTCCTATGTCAAGACAAGACGAGCATTTCTGAACAAGTCAGAACGCAGCGTAATGCTTTGAGAAATTGTGCATGCAACTGTGTACATCACTTGTTTTTGCTACATGTACCAACTAGAAACTAAGAGAGTGCAAAATTCACTGAGCTCTGAATGAATTAAATCTCCTGCATAACGAACGTGTCTTTACCTAACTTCATTTCACAGTGCACTGTCACACAAGATCACTTTGTCTAAAGGCACTAGCACGTTCAATGAGCCGTCAGATTTCCTGCAAGGATGGGTTGCTTTAAGGCAGATAAATTAATGTATTAGGACAATTTTTTGTTGCCAGAGAATATAGAGTGCCTTGAAGTACACTAAAGCATCGATATAGTGAATGCAAATATAACGAATTACCAGTTATAACGAAGAAAATGAAAAAAATAGTCTTGAAATAGATACCGTGTTAAGAACATACCTTTATAACAAATGTTAGGACAAAGAGTTTCTCACAAACTTTCTATAGGGAAATCTGGCGCTAGTGAGTTGCTGGATGCAAGGGAATGCGGGGATATGTGAGCTTCGAACTTGACTCGGATCTGTATACCTGAAAGACGCGTCTGGCTTCATGTTAAAATTATTGATTTTTGACTAAAAGAGCACATAATGAACCGTTCATTTTTGTCATTGCACAGAAACACGTTTTATTTAACACTAAAACCTTCTGCGTCGATGTACAATTTTATGAAGTGTAACAAGTAACCAATGGCCGCTAAACTTGGCAGGCAGACGCCAAAGCGAGCGTTCTTTCCACCGCGTTTATGTCATGTTTTTTTCGCTGTTTGGTTGTGCAGTCAAAGTGAGTGGACTTTTATTTTAGGATGTAATGCGTGTGAATAAGACCTGCTCATAAAGAACTTGTTTTAGAGAAGCTTTGTTTACGCAGTAGTGTTCGTTTTTGAGCCGAAGCCTCCCTCAACACCAGCCAACACAAGCCTCGCAGACACATATGCCGTCATTCCGAGCGCTCCAATGGGGCCCTTTTAAGAAATTTGCATAGACGGTGGCGCCACGCTTTCTTCTAGGTATTATTGTGAGAAACTCTATGTCTTATGATATAACGAACTTATTTTTGTGTAAGATGTCACTTTCTTATAATGATGTTTGGGTGTAACAACAATTTCGCTCATGTATGGAGAGTTCTCGATGGGCGGCGCGTGGAAAGGTTAATAAAGACTTTAGTGCTTCACTGATAAACCGATTGAAGGATTTCGTAAAGACTGACTTTTGCTGGGAAAAAGAAAATCTGTCATCTGTGCTTCACACACATTCACACAACAGCAACATACAACCGATAGTATAATGTGTTACGAGAAGCTGTATGCAGGAAGTGACAACACTACGATTTCTTATATATAACACACAGGAAATATACAGAAAATTCGTTACTAAAGCCGGGTGCCAGTTACGCATAAATTTTAGTGCACAACTTGAGTTTGTATATTGCTTCACAATAATGCCAGAAAGGAGACCACAGAAATAAACAGCGTTTTTTTTTTTTTCTTTCTTCTTTTGCCACGGAACCTAGATGGGGTGCAGATTGTTGAGTGGGCAGGATATATACGAGAGAGTACAGTAAATTGCTAGCAGTTGTTTTCAGTATGTTTCTTTCCGGATTGCCCCAAATACTAAAACGCAAGAAAAGCAACAAAGTTGGATCCTTCTTTCCTGCGCATCACCGTGGTAAACAGAAAGGTATTCACGGTGCAGTTAAATTTTCGCAGAATAGTTGACGTTACTTCAAGCAGGTCATGTTAATCAACAAGACAGAACAGTACTTACTATCGTAAGTAGTACAAAGCCAGCGTGGTTCAGAAGGGCAGCCAAATCCGTAGGTTGGACAAACGGGGATATGTGGGCACCAAATCCCTGGAACGACAAGAAAGCAGTTCAGGAACCGGGACTATGTGTCGGCTTGTGTTACGCAATACATTATGAAGCAATCAAGTGCAATATAATATAAACGACAACTTACAATTTCAATGGCACCCCAATAGAAAAAAAAATCGGTACGTGTACACTCAAACCTTGATATAATGAACTCGGATATAACGAAACACTGGTTATAACGAAGCAAATGAAGAATAGTCTTGCAACAAATACAGTGCTAGGAATATACATTTATAACGAATGTTTGGATATAATGAACGTACTTTCATGTAAGATGCAACTTTGTTCTAATGAAATTCGAATGTAGTTGTGCCAGCCAATTGCGTATGTAGACCGCACTGCATTCACCACAACAGGACACTTCTTTAGGTATCAAAAACTGACAAGTTCTTTAGGGACAGTTCAAAAATTAATTCAAATGGTGTTATGAATATGAGGCACACCATAGTGGGGGGCTATGAATCAAATCCAACTTCCTGGGTTGATAAACATGCACTTAAATCAAAGTACAACGGCCTCTCAGTAAAAAGGAATCCCTTGAAATGGAATAGCTGCTAGAATGAAACAACTGGTGGTAATGTAACTGGTGTCATACTTGAACGTTGCCCTCACGATCATCTCCTTGTAAACGAAGCTTCGGTTAGACAGAACATATTTTCCTAGTCCGTTCAGGTTGCGTTTGAAGAGAACGTGCTATACATACATGTGCATTTCTTGCGTTTTGCTTCCTTCAGAATTTAGCTGCCAGAAACGGGAATCAAACAGGCTACCTTGTACCTAGTGATGCCACGCTGCAACTACTGACACAGCCCCACCCAGCATGTTTGGGCTACTTTGCTGGCATTATCAAACAGCTCAAAGGTACAACCTAAACATACAGAAGGGAAGAAAACCATGTGTAAAATGGAGTTTCACGCACCGGCGTGGCTCAGTCAGAGAATGCTCTAAAAGGGCTTGGGTCAAAGTGCGCTTGAACCCTGGGTTTTCTTTTTCTTTTTTCCCTCATTGTGGACAATACCTGTTATAGAGACTGACAGCTTGGGCAACTACGCTTCCAAAACCAGCTGTTTTCATGGTCTCATAACAACGTTTGCAGTAAAATATGGCAGTAAAGTCCCTTACACCTTCACGTTCCGTTTCCGCAAGCTGCAAGGAGCCCCTCAGCTGGTACAAGGTGTCACCACCGAAGACGCATCCCAGAAAGGCACCATCCTGCTTAAGTGCGTTCCACACCTAAAAAAGGCCGAGTTAAAAGACACACACACACACACACACAAAAACTAGATTAGTTTACACTGATAAACTACACTCTGAAGATGCTAGTGTCATTAATATCGCCACCATAGGTTTATTAATCAATGCGAATATCAGTGTAAATACCTTCACTTGGAAATTTCCTGTTGATATCTCCAATGGTCACATCAGAATTTTAAAGTGTTTTTTACATTTCGGTCCGGGATGGCTCAATAAAACTTCTTGAAAATCAGCACATTAAGTCTCTGCTGCTTCAGAGGTTAAGGTACTTCATTTTCATCTATTAGGGACGTTGTAGGCCCTACTATACAACATCAATACCTAAGGCGCCATGATGGGCGGTGTTGAAACTGCATTGCACCCGCATTTTGCTTGTGTGTGTTTTCTCATCTACCTAACGCCTTCTCACAGCAAGCATGGTGTTTTTCATATCATGAAAGAGTACTTTACTAATATGAGAAAATCATTTTTTCTCTTTAGTGCCCCTCAACACAACCATACTCAAAGGTAATTGTAACTGTAACACTATTTGTGGTCGCATACATTGTGGTGTATGTACATGTTTGTATTTTAATAGATGTTATGCTAGACACAACTGCATTAGCCATAGTATTCAGGTAATATATTGGCATTACCTTCACCAGTCCTTCAATTAAAATTATTCTGCAACAAACAGAAAAAGTCAAATCCTCAGTCCAGAAACCCAGAAGAGCAACATATAATACTGACTGGTGGCAGCTGTTATAACTGCAGCTGTACAAAACGTTTCCTCAATGAGTGGAAAACTGTTTGTACCTGTTTGAATGTGCCGGGAAGATTGTTGACCCAGTGGAGACTGCAAGAAAAAAGATTAAGTTATCGATGATGGCACTTGTAATAAAAATTGTTGGAACATCTGAAAACATCTTTAACCCTTTGTAATAACACAAGGCATTTCACATGAGGATATGTTACGCTTCAGTAAAAACAACAAATGCACGTATATTCAATAAAACATTTCATGAGAAGCACATGAGTGCATGCTTTTTAGGGGCTCCTCTGTCGCCATGTTGAACTTGGTTCGCAACTGAGCCAGGGCCCCAACCCCTGTAAATCTTGTCCAATTATCTTTCATCAAAGAGGTTGTGCGTTCTTGGGATTTCACGATAGTGCATATCGGTTTGATTTATGCAAGCAGGAACAATTTGACAATACTCTTTTTTTTTTCTGTGCTCTGCTCCTGGTTTCATCGCCACATCGCCATTTTTTAGGCAGTAAAGTGTGCAACAGAGGGCCATGGCTGCATGAGCAGCCTATTCTCAACAGAGGGCAGTTCTCAATTGTGCTAATAAAATGCACACCACTAAGAAAAAGTTTTCTTTGAATTAAGAGTTTTCTCAGCATAAAACTAGAACTATGCAGTGTCTGGAATGCTATTTCAACAATTCCTGTCAGCTTGTCACTTGCCTTTAGTGTCCCTAAGAGGCCCAAGAACTTAATGAGGCAGTTTTTAATGAGTTAGGCATGCAAAATTTTCTTCCTACCTCAAGCTGCTGAGAAAGATGTCGACAGAATTCTCTGCGAATGGAAGGAACTCTTCGTCGACGACAAGCTTCGTTGCGGGCACGTCTTTAGGCACCTTGCAGCGTATCTGTAGCAAGTAAAAAAACGTGGCTGAAAATGCGTGCGACAGAAAAAGTGTGATTTCGAAATTAAAGCTATTAATTATGACATGCAGCAGACCTGCACAAGTTGCACTTACGACATTGCAGCTGCAAAGATTGACATGAAATGCATGTCAAAACAACAAAGAGATGACTGCACCATTACGAAGGTGTGCAAACAGTCAAGATTGAAAATACACATCAAATAGTGGTTGTCACTGTTAAATGTGTCATGGTAGATGGTTACACTAGAACATAGATATTAAAAAGAAAGACTACACACTGGCTGCAATGAAAAGACGCACAATGTACAAGAAATTCTGAACTATGCTCAGAGTTCTAGCTAGCCGGCCTGTTCAGCCAATGCAGAAATATAGAAACCTTTAAAGGAAAGAGCATTCCTTCATTTTGAAGTTCATGCTTTTGCTTGGTTTACTAGAGCACGTTGGACACGTCATATAGCTCGGAGACAGACCCTTGGTTAAACATGTGTTCGATTCAACAATTCACTAATTAAAATTGCGGGACCCGTTTACATTTGCAGTGAAACTATTCATTCCTCAACCACAGCATGTACAAAAGATGAGGTCACCGCACCCTTGTTAGTAACTTACTGGTATCTTTTGTGCATATTGTTGTTTACAAGGAATTTATGTTTAAATATAAGCAATAACGTGATGCATACATCTGTGTATAATTCGCCTTCTGCTAACAATTGTGGACTCTCATAACAAACGGCATGCACCATTGCGTATGCTGCATCTGAAATGAATAACCGAGCGGGTCTATTTCAATGCTTCGTTTCACTATTTGTCTGTTGTCGAAATGGTGTTTTTCTCTCGTTGCAGTGACTAATCAGACGTCAATGCTGGTTATGCTGATGCAAAAATGTCCACAAATGACCAAATTGAATCCTTACATAATAAATAATAGCTCCTAGGCTCATTTTGTACTGAGAAGTGCACAGAATGAAGTGTGGCTGCCACTGCACTGAACACTGTTGGATTAGTAATGTGCAAGTAAAAGAATGCCTTTGTATACACTGCAAAGATAATAAACATAAGTGTTAGCAGGTCAAAAATGTAAACAAAATGAAGTAGAAATTCGGTGCTACGCTATGTTAACAAAATTTGAATTTAGTTGAGATGGTGCATTGCTAACAAAAATTTTGAGCAGAGAGGAAAAAACAACAAAACAAAACAAGACATTTATAAGAACGACAAGACAAGTCTGGTTGAAAAAAGTGTCACTTGTCTTGTCTTCTCCTTTGTGTGTAAGTCTTGTTTTTTGTTTGGCTTTGTTTTTTTCACTCAAAATTCCCCTTAGGCCTTGTCCGTGCAATAACACTGATCTCTTCGTTAGAGCAATGAAAGCATCAAAGCTATTGTTAAAAAGTTTATCTAATCATTTACACACTACGTAACTTCAACACAGCGTAACGTATAGTGGGCACAGCACATTTCTTGAATCTAGTATCCTCCACAGACCGATCTTCTTTCAGGTTTCCTAGTATAATGTCTACAGATATATTGTCTGTAGGCTGCGTGGACTGTAGTTCATATAGCAGTCTAATGTCATATGCAGGATGTTATGCTCGGAAAACGAATGAAAACGAGCAAAACTTACGAGGCACTCTCGAGACGCGTCGCACAGGACGAGGGATTCCACGGCTTCCTGAATGTAAGAAATTGGCACCCCTAAGGAAAATGTTCACGTACTACAGAGGAGCACCCAACTCCCATTTGGTCCCTCATGGATAACGCAAGCTCACAGAGTCCAAATGATGCGACACGTGGCCTCGACCGCAGCCCAGCTCCACAGCTCTTGGGAACTTTCTGAAACGCACCAACAATGACATATCGATTAGAATCTGTAAATTTCACATGATCTATCTAGAAAACAAGAAGTTGGGCAATTGAGGGGTTGTTCTGTGCGGGTCAACCGCAGTAGTATTTAAGTCAATTGGCAATGGCTCCATCAAAATCGTTTATGTCAACAGATTGTTCGTACTGACATCGCAGAAACCGCCATGCTAGATTATCAACATGACGGCAATCAAATTTTGAGTTGCCAGGTTAATGCCATTAGTAAATCACGTGCATGTTCCTTAGCTATTCATGCACAGAGGACAATAATGATCTTGCTGTGTCAGTGCCGCTTTGAAGAAAGTTAACGACTGCCAGAAAATGCTGAAAATATCATCAAACTACCATGTTGAAGCACCAGAACATTAAAAACCTGTGTTTATGACATGCTGTGCAAGCTGTAGATACTTACACGTTTTGGAATGAGGTTCTCTTTCCCTTCATAACATGTTTTTTATAGAACACGCAATTTTATTGTGGAAGCATTCATTGTACAGATGTTCTGATGAATGTGCACGTGTACACATCAACAGGATTATTAGTGTTTTTTGAATGTGCAAAAATCTTACCTCTTAATGTCATAGACCCGATCAGCCAACCGATAACCAACCTGAAAGAGACAGAGAGAGATAAATAATGCACGTTAACGTGCAAACCAGTACAAGTTCAGAACTGTCGACAAACAGTGCAGTTCATGACGCCTTAGCAAGTTAGCATGGCCACCTGAATTTTACTTTTTACGTGTTTTCTTGTTTACGAAGTGCCTTTTCGCAATAAGAGAGGTGCTTTGGGAATAAGCAGGGGCAACATAAAAGTATGAGAAAAACCATTTTCTCTCCCTGGCGTCGTTATAATGATCCTATTCCAATGCTGTTCATTCTTATGCTTCGTCTGTTGTTGGAGTAGTGTTCCTCCAATGTTGTCATGATTTGTAAGTCATCAACGCTGGTTCCTCGTTACCGCCATATTCCTTGATGCGGTGATTAGTCTGACGGCATCGAGGTAAGATTCAGGTGATTGTGCAGTTCAGCCTGTTGCATGTAAACGCTCTAGGGGTGACGAGAGTTGCGTAGTACTCGAAACTCGCACCTGTAACTTCACTGCTCATGCGCATTCATTATACTCCACAGAGACACAATGGCGTGAGCAATTAAACAAACCGCTAGAAATGTGCCTGCGAGAAGAAACCAGTTACCTCGTTATGAAAACGTGCGTACATTAAGTTGCCAGGCGACAACGTCACCGTTCACAGATCGGTGAATCGCGCATAGATTTCTGCGACAGCACAGTGTGACTACTTGGGCTTAAATCGATGCAAAGAAATCAGTTGGCTGGGTAGAGCATGCGGATTCGCGATGCGTGGCAGTGAAGCACACCCAAGCAGCGTGTTGAACTAAACAACCGTAGCAAGCTTTACACCTGCCGCTGTAGAATCACCGGCGGCCTATTGGGTCCCACCTCGTCTTTGAGGTAGTCGTACACTTCGACGTCCTTGTCCAGGGCCGCCAGGGTCTTGTGGCGCGTCTTCGCCTTTCTGTCGAAAACGTTCATTTGATGACCCGGGGGCAGAGACGAGTAGAAACACCTCGAGCCATCACTGGGTCCGGCGGTGTTCGAGGGTTCGCCACACCTCGCAGTCTGGCCAGTTCGTGCTATCCACACTCCGGGAACCCTCCGACACAGCATCCGACACAGTTTGAATTCGGAGACGAGCATTCTGCGCTTAAAAGATACGAACTACGATCGCAACGAGAGCTCAAACATTAGGGCACACGCCACCTTTGCAAAGCGTGCATAAGACTTTTTTTTTTTTTTTTTGAGAAGTTTTGGTTTCGGAATTCCACTGAAGCAGTTGAGTACGGTAAGTTGAAGAAATTCGTAATGTCGACAAAACTGCACAACACGCATACCTATTTTGTGTTTATAGGGTAATTTATACCTATTTCTGCTGTACAACTTTTTGTACTTAAATAGTGTTGCGCAGCAAGTCATGAGTAAGCACATGGCAATGTAATTGTTGCCATTATTGTATTTATAGCGTCCAAATAAAATGAAAGCCTGGCCCTGTTTGTGAACTAAAGTACAGCTACTAAAGTTAGTTACGCTCCAAAGCTTCTCGTTTCTTTCGGACCAGTCGCATGGACAGCGTCAACAGCGAGAGAAAACAAATATGGCAGCTCGCATGTCTTCAAAGACGATTGTAGACGCAATCTGCAGATCGAGGAAACAGCTCGTCTCCGTCGTTAATTACGGTACTTCGAGCGCCCACGGCACGGAATTAGACGTCATTGCGCGAGGGTGGTTGTACGACAGCCTATGGATTGCGACGCGCAGCGCGCCGGACGACGCCAAGTTGGGCAGTATCGCTGCGGCAGTCGAAGAAGTTGGAGATGAAGCGATGGAAACTAACGTCGCTAACGCCGAGTCAACGATTGACGGAGCGACCGCAGAATCCGAAGTCGTGGACGACGTCGCCGCCGAGCAGCGGCGTCAAATCCTCGACACCGTCGCGGCATCGGAAGGGTTCTTTAAGCACCAGCAACGCGGGGAACCCGACCTGAGTTACGAGGAGAAGCGAGAGATCGCCGAGAAGACGTTAGACGGCAACGTGCCGCTGTTCCTGCAGCGTTACGCCAAGTTCTTGTACAAGAAGACGCCGCCTACTTCGAGGCGCTTAGGAGAGTCGACTACGAGGTCGACTTTCACGTCACGGAGATCGAGAGACGCAGCCGCAGGGGCAGCTCGCGAGCGCTCAGCGTGCAAACCAAGAATAGGCGATACGAGGCCCTCGAAAGACTCAAGACGGGCGGCGAGTACTTCAGTGACAAAGAAATGCGGCGAAGAAACCCGCTGCTGTTCGAACAGATGATCGGCCGCTACATGACGGAAAAAGAGAAGCTAGACCTCGACAAGATGGACTTCTCGACTCTAACGTGAGCGCTGCAAAAAACATTAAAGATGCTTCCCAAGTACATAGGAGGAGGAAAACGATCCGTGTGCGCTTCAAGCGCCGAAACTGGCGCTTATGCAATAGTAAACAGTAGTTGAGGTATTAGGCAGTTTGCCTGCTAGTATGACAGTTTACTATTACTACTAGTTTTCAGTAGTACGACAGGCTATTTGGGTAACCTATGTAGGCGCCCAAGAGGATTGTCTATGACGCATGCGCGATGTCAGAAAACGCAAAAAATAAACTGTGTAAAGATTTGGGTGCCCTGTTCTAAGGTTAATAGTGTAGTAATAAGAAATGTATGCAGAGAGCGTCCTTTGAGTACGATTTGCTTTTTCTATCACTTGAAGTGGGTACTCAAGAGAAGTGCGTATGATACATGCACAGTGCTGGCACAGGCTGACACTAACGTCTGTGTACCCTGTTCTGAAGAAGTCTAACTAGATGGTTTTAAAGTAGTGTCTGCGAAGCTTTGTGTTAGCGCTTGTCGCTGCTGTGCACGCATCATACGCTCTCCTCTTGAATAGCGTATCTTACCCAACGATTTCTGCGTCTGCGTAGCCTATTCTAAAACTGCCTATTCTTTGGCTTTGAAATAGGCACAAGTCTTGCATTTGTTAGCATCGAGTATGCATCAGATGCCAACCTCTTTGATACACATGTTACATTTCAAAAGTAGCCTATGTACTCAAAGCAATGCAAATCCTATGCGCCCAATTCTAAAGCTCTTGTATCTGCCGGCTCATCATATGCCTTGTCTAGTCTGAGACGTGTTAGACTATTGAAGTGAAGGCAGTGGTCTGGTAATACGCCTTTTAAACAAGTCCAGTTTCCCCATCGATACGTTCCAAGCACGACACCCAGCAACCTTACGCATGCATCAGGTGACAGTGCTTGGAATGGCAACCTTCACACCACAAGCTGTATGCTTACGTAAAACCTCCTCTAAATTTTTCTGAGGAGGCTGTGGCCCATATGCAACAATGCAGTGACAAACAATGTTTTATGTGAGAGTATTCTAGTCTGTTAGGAAGCCACTGCAAACACCAGGCGACTTGTGCTGCGAAGACTGTGCATTAAAAAAAAAAGTAGAATCTTACCTTTTTATAGGGATAGTAATTTTTTTTGCTTGATGCATCTTTGTTGTCCTATCACTTCCATTAAAAAAAACTTATGGGGTAAGCTACAAGGAACGTAAAATGTCAAGGATGTGCCCCCACCCTCCCATTTTTAGATCTAAAATAAGTGCCAATGACCAGTCTGGGAACGAGAAATCGGCCCCTTCCCAATTCTGGTCAGATTATCATTCCCCGCGGGGGGGACGCTTGCTTGGAATTTTACGGTAAATCAATCTCAGGATGCCCAAGTCTCGCCTAAACTGTAAGCGCATATGAGAAGGAGTAAATTTTTTAACTCATCTGGCTTAGTTCAGTTGTGATTGTACGAGCCGCACGAATGGAATTGCTCAAAGTGACCGTGTGTGAGCAGTGATTCTAGAACAATCGCCCGTGCTCTGCAGGTTCTCCGGCCTGCTGATGGAGCACATAGATCGGAACGAGGTCACGAGCCTTCGAAGACAGCAGCAGGACCTTGAGGAGGCCACATTTGAGGAAAGTGACTCGGACTCTGAAGAAGAAGGTAGGCAACGGTGGTGACCTGGTCACACCAAATGTATCGCATCCTTTGAGAAACCATTCTGCTCTTAGTACATGGGCAAAGAAGGGCGCACACAGGACAACCGCTGGACGTTGATTACCCATTGTCTAACAACGTCCTGTGTGCACCTTTCAGAGTCCCACTTTTATTTTCGCTAGTAACATATATTTCAGTCAAAACCAACCAGCCGAAATTTCAGCTTTCTGCACAAACTCAAGGGAGACAAAAGACCGAACCTTGATTTCAAAACTATATTACCGTTGTAGCTCCCCATCGGGGTAGAGATGTTTATATATGTTAGAAATAACTTCAGGTCAACGTCGAGATCCCTTTCTTTAGTATGTTTCAACTCAATCAGGTGGACTTTCATCACATTGTCGACTTTGTACGTGGATCATAGCGAGACCAGATAATCTGCAGTTTCAGCTGTGTGTGCCGAAGTCAGTAGCACCAAAAATATTCTGGACATTCTGTCATCTGCCCGCCGTCGTCGCTCCAGAAATGGCTGTAGTGCCAGATGCAGGGTCATGGGATGATGCCCACACAAGGCAGCTGGTGTTTTGATAAAACACAAATACAAGAGTGTTCCTGTACTTAGGTGCATGCTAAAGGACTGGTACCATAGAAATCAGTTACTAAGTCCTGTGACTGTGCCCACCGAGTCGGAAGAAGCGCTCACAACTGCGTTAACGTCCATTAACTACAAATCATTGTCGAAAGTAGTCGTTCTCGATTGCCGAACTTACAAGCCATTAAAAATAGAGGGCCACCGATGTGTCATTGCAGTTAATATGGCAATGAAGTGTACGAACGACAGTGGTGCCTGTGGTGTCCATGCTGTGCAGAGATAGTGTGTTAGCAAGCTGAGCTACTCGCGCTGAGTGTGCAGAGATAGAGTGCAAGAAATTATAATAATGTCTGGGGTCTTACGTTCCAAAACCACTATATAAGAGACTCCGTAGGGGAGGGCTCCGGAAATTTCAACCATATGGTGTTCTTTAACGTGCACTGACATTACACAGTACACAGGCCTCTATCGTTTTGCATCCATTCAAATGCGACTGCCGCTGCCGGGATCGAACCCACGATCTTTGACACCTGAGCACCATAATCACTGCTCCACAACCGCAGATGGAGAAGGAAAAGAAATACAACCTAAAAGCAATGAAATGCGACATTTCTAATCATTTTTCAAAAATATTCCTTCCCATGGCCGATCTAGAGTGTGAAGATGATGCACCACATGTTTCTGCGACAGAAAAGCGTCTCCTGAGGAACGAGTTCATGAACACTATGTACGAGAGCTTCCTCTCTGGGAAAGACAAGGATTACGATTACGAGTAAGTGACTGACCGTTTTTAAAATGGAAGCTTGTTACGGGCAACAGATTTTCGTGGCAACACATTGGTTTGAAATGCACTTTCTCACCTTGCAGTTCCGTCGACAACAACGCGGACTTCGACTCCCTCCAGACGAGGCAGCACGACGAGGAGGAAAAGTATTTCGATGCTGAAGAGCCGGAGATTTTAGACACAGTCGCATGAAAAGGTTTTTCAAGTGCGAGATAGAACTCCAGTTACCTGGACATGTAAATAAATTATGCATAAAGGGCTTGGCATGAACATTGTTTGGCATGCTTATGGGTAGGCACTGGTCTTCTGGTTCAGAACCTCGCAAAAAAAAAATGACTTTTTGAAACATTTCTTTATTCTGCCATCTAGACATCAAAGAGAATCTATTGCTGTTATAATAAAGCCTTCTAATGATAAGTACCATTGTGTTATCGGGCTCTCAATTCAGGTTCACTATCATTTTCACTCGCAAACTCGCAAAATTTTGACGATGGTAGTTGCAATTGAAAGCTTGAGAGTTCCAGCAAGAAAAAACTGAATTATCTCTTGGAACAAATTTTATTTCAATATAAACAGATAACAATTCTAGGGTTCCCAGCCTTCATATTAGACATGGCAATAACTCATGTAATTTAGCAAAAATTAGAGGTCTAACTGTGATCTCCAATTGTTCTAAAATATGCCTATATAATTTTTTCTACAATATTGAATGATGAGGTCGAAGGAAAGTAGGGGAAGTTGATTTTTCGTAATATCTCAAGAAATACTTCAGATAAGAAGAATGCATAACTACTACTAGCAGGCTAAGATGTGGTACGCCTTAAAAAGTTTTATTTGTGTTTTTTTTATAAGACCAGTGTGTCCCGTCAAAGTACTCGACTGTTTAAGGTTCTGTGTGAAGCTTCAAAGGCTTCTTGACGAAACAACGGATCTTGAGTAGGTTTCCATGTAGCACCATTAAGAAACTGGGCTTGCGCCAGGGCTGTACTGGGCTGCATCAGTCTTTATGCGACACCGGTTACATGACTGAAAGTGCTCACGACGGCCAACTTTCAGAGAGTCTATGCAGCATGAAAATTGGGTGCCTCTACACCCAAGGAAACAATGTCGGAGAATTTAAGACGTACAAGGTGGAGCTACAAGTTCTTTTTACCGAATCTAGTCTAATTACTTTACAGACAGGCCCTGTATTTCCTTATTCACGAATGCAGTTGGCTACCACACTTAGGTTGTCTGAGTAGGGCTTCCGACTTGATTTGTATAGTACTAATTAGGTCTCAAATTAAGTCCGGTGCAAATTAAGCGAGACATTCTACACGAAGATAGAGCTTAACAGCTATGCTATAAATGTATGACAGTGACAAGAGAGATATGTATGCAAGACTACATTTAAGAGGGGTCACAAGAGAACAAGAGGTTGTAACATTTAGAAAGTAGCACTAATTGTACTTCAGGAAAAAAAAAAAGTACAACTGATGCTGTTTTAAAAGTGTATGGGTTCGAGCTTGTTGGTACCGTTTCATCTTCACAAAACAGCGCAAAAACGAGGAGACAAACACACAGGAAAGAGCACTGAACTACCAACAAGTGTGCTTATTTGTGAAAGTACGAATAAATGTGCTTCTACACATGGCAAAAAGGCATGTGTCCTATACATCACGTCTATTAATGGGTGCAGATAGCTGATCTCCTTGTCTGTTAATGCTATCGAGGGTGCACTGACATATGCTGACGCCACTTATGCATTTTGTAGGCCTTGTAGATTTCTCGAGTTCGGGAACCTCGATAGCTGCGAACAATGCGTGTCTGCTGGAAAAAGGGTTTGCACCCGCACTTTGTGCAATCAATTGCCAAATTGCTGGCTGTCTTCGTTCCAAGATTGCTGGCATGTTCTCGTAGTCGATCATTAAAATACCGACATGCCCGATCAACGTACAAGTGTCCACGAGACGTCGGAATCTCGTACACCACTCCTGTTTTACAGGGGACGAAGCGACTTGCATGTTTTTTTTTTTTTTACATGCAAGTTTTCCAGAACTTGCCACATTCACTTGCTTGCCAAGGTAGCTCCATTTTATAGGAACCGAGCATACCACTCTTATTTCCGTTCGTGCCGCCACTTTCTTTAAGCTGTGGGAGACGCCGTGCATGCAGGGGGACGACGGAAACCTTGGTCTTGTCAACTTGCGCTGGGGTTTTTTTCTTCTAGGCCTATATTTGCGTAGAATAACTTCTGCCAGCCCTGCCAGGAACTGTTCAGGAAAACCAGCTCGTCAACCTGTCCACTTGAAGGGTGAAACTTAAAGCGACCCGATGGGGACATCAACGACATGGGCAATCCTCATGGTGGCCAGTGCGGTGGCACGTTTGACGACCTTTGAGTGATGGGATGAAAATGGCAGAAGGTCCTTCTTCGATTGCAGGGTATTCCTATGTGTCTCCTCATTTTTGCACTGTTTTTCGAAGACGAATGCCGACAGATGACAAATAATTGGAAAGCATGGTGTTGCTGGGGACGTTTCTTCAAGGCTACAACTGCTTATACTTCGTTTGATAAGCTGTTGGCAGTGCAGCAAATACTCCCCAAAATATTTTAGCAATCCAGGAGTATTTTGCCAACTACGAGCTCAGAAACTCGTAACAGGGTTAGGATTGATGTCCTTGAAGTGCACAAGCTGTTTAATTCGTGAAATCAAGAAAAGCCGGCAAGGAAGAATCTCTGCAGAGGCTCATTGCGAGGTTTGTGATGAACTGCCTTTCGCCAATATGACGTTGCCCGAGCTTCAAGACGCCCCACAAGCAGAGTCTCTGGCGAGGAAACCATTCGGTATGCACCATTTTCCCAAGCTGACAAAGCAAATCGCTTGTAACGTCCTTTAAGTGCTTCGCGCCACAGGGACAGTACAATTGTAGATTCGTTTATTAAGAGGATGGCAAAACTTACCCAGGTGGGCTAGCAGATACTCTAGTGGTGGGAAACGACTAAGAACACGGGCAGAGTCGTACCACTAAACAAGTGCTTTGTGGGAAAGGTCCTGATCGAGCGAAAAAGTTGGAAAATTGTACGTAAAAAATTGGCACAAAATTCCTCGCAAGTGTGTAACGGATATCGCGCTTCTCCGAAGAAAGACGAAAGATAGCATAGCGAGAGCTGGCCTACTACACAAAAATTTATGATTATGGCATAGTGGGCATCCTGCAAGTGTGCTTGTAGCAGTTACCCAAAGAGAGTCTAGAAAAGGCTTTAAAAGAGTGCTCTTCCAGCTTTCGCTGTGACTGCACTGCATGTTCCATGCAGTTCTGGTGGGTTTTTTTTCCGAGAAAGACAAAATTCTAACAAAGGTGATTCGGGGATTATAACAAAGGTCACAAATGTGATCCTGCGTTCATAAGAAGGCGAGATGCAACCAACCGTGTCTACGACGGCGATGCAGAGGATGCTGAAGAAGTTTGGCTTGACCAGCGAGAAGCGCTCTGGAAACACACTTCTCATGAAAGCGACGCTCGTAACACATTACACAACTCTTCATACGTTTGTTTCAAAAGGAGTGAAAGTTTGAAATATGTAATGGTTGAGATCACCAAAGCCTGCTACATTAAAATGCCACGACTCTTGGTAATTTACTTCGCCTTGTTCATGCAATGTTCAAGTATTCCAACAATAGCAAGCTGTCCTGTTTCACCAATGTACTATTAGTGACAATGCGAACATTCGATCATGTAGATAGCAGAAGAGGACAATGCAGGTTATAAAAGTAGAAACCACACTTTATTCCACTCACATGAAAAAGGCAGCCGAACACAAAAGTGACAAAAAAGACACATCAGAAAAAACGAGTGAGAAAGAATGAAAAAGCAAAGGTGAGCATGGCAAATAAATAAGCAACAAACACGTCACACCAGAAGTGCGAGGAAGAAAGGCGAGAAACAGTAATAGTATCTTACAGCCAGACAGATCGTCTCCAGAACACTTGTCAATGCTTTCCAGTGTCGCCTATGAAACGTTTCAAATGATAAATTCATTAGCTGCCCCTCGTAAAAGAGAGATCTATCACTGTTATCTCTGCTGCTGCAATGTTGACTGGAATGCCCAAGCAGCCGCGACGCAAACAAAAATAAAAACCGCGCAAAGCACTTGTCTCTGACATGCACACGCGTGATGTGGACATTTAAAAAGTGAAGGATAAGCTCAACTGCAAGAAAATTTCACAATGTTGATAAATCTTTTTATGCCCAAGCAGTATATTCAACTGAAGCAATTGGGGACATTAAATGTGGAACGCCAGATCAGTTAAAAGGCCAGCAAACAATCCCGAGGTCCAAAAATTGTTATAAAGAGAAATATGTGCACTTTTGCTGTGTGAACATGCTAAAACAAAAATTTAATGAGTCCGTGCTATGTTAAGGATGTTACAGCGGTTAGAACATCGGTTCCAGCCGGTTTCAAATTCTCACGTGAACTCGCCCCCTTCTTTCTCACAGCAAGGCGCAGCCCGCCGTCGTGACTGGTTTAGAGCAATCGACGGATACGCGCAACGTCAAGTCACCAGTCTTTGCGCCACTGCTGTGAAAGGAGGACTGGTCACGTGTAGGAAAGGAGCACGGGAATTGTTTTCTGTAATGGAGGCTGTGCGCCGCTTGAAGCGCTGTATTATTCAGAAAACGGGACAGCTGCGGTCTACTCAACAAATTGCCGAGCTTTCTTTGGAGGTGTAAAAACAAAGTCGGAGCATGTCCACTGACCCTTCAAAACCAAGCTGTTTGAGAACTTTGTTGTTAACTTCAAGTTGCTAGGTTCATGTTTAGATGAGTTACATTATGAAACAGCTTAAATCGCAACCCAGATGTCAGAGTGACGTTGCCAATTTTCAAGTCTTTTGGCAATATTTGCTCAGACTTGGATACTGCAGTGCGCACTGCATTTCCTAGCAAGCGATACTCCAGGCTTCTAGAAGACTTCGGACGATAAAGCCTCCAGCAACCTTACCGAATCGTAGGCAATGAATTATATTCTAGACATGAAATATACTGCTGGAACAAACCCTTGCGAGAATAAAGGTCTCATTTTTATCACAATTATCTTGTGTACCTCCTTCGATGTGCAACTACTGTTTTGCACACCTCACTTCTCAGCTAGGAAACCGACATCAGAGACATCCTCGAATTACCAAGGCTAACGACATGACGTGCGTGCTATGTGAACTGAACAGTTTCCTTGCTCAAAGGGGCACCGACAATAATTTCGCAATGTGAATTCACTTTGCCACACAAATCTCATTAACACCAAGACAGCTCTGAACAAGTGCAAAGCTCTGTAAATGTTGATATTTCTCGACATAAAAGCCTATTTTGCATGGTGCACCTATTGAGATAAACACCATTGCAACGTCGGGCTGCAGTCATTGGTAATGGATTCAGGGACTCTGATGCCAGTACAGTTGTGTTTGAAACGGAATCTGAAAAAAATTGCTGGGGTTTTAAGTCGTCGTAATATGATGTCATAATGTGCTGTGACGTTGGTGTACAGTACAAACTGAAACTACTTAAAAAAAAAAACTTTCAGTAATTTCTCAGGGTGCAGTCAAATTTAACAGTACATCTTTAGCTTTTGAGGACTTGGCCCTTTATCTCATTCAAAGATACAAAGACTCAAGCTGAACATTTTTGTGTCGGTACTTCTCTGAGGTTAGTCGACAGCAACTCCGACAGACAACCTGCCCATGTTGCTTCTTTGAGACCTGCATTGTTTTGGCATATTGTCAACTAAAATCTGAAGGGGGAGACATAACATATGAGCACCATGCAAGCCAGATGCGCCATGCTCTTCAGAAAAGACTGCTTTGCATCTGATGTAGCAATCATGTTAAGCTGAGCCTGGCAAGACTAAATAGTTATCTTAGAAGACAAGACTTTCAGGGTGGCACAGTCGAAAAGTGAGCTCCACCAGCATTAACACGAAATGAGAGGAGGGTTTCCATATTTCTCTATTAAGACATCATGTATGACTCGGGTATTTTTACGAACTGCTTCACACTCACCAAAGGATCACTGTGAGAACTGGTGATATACAGTCACGCGACATGCAATCCGTGGGTTCGGGTTGCGATTTGGCCAATCGTGTGAACACAACTTGAAGCGCAAACCCAACTTGCCGGCACACACGTTCTGTAGATTTTTAAGAACTCCACAACATCAGGTAAGTAGACTTACTGGCGAGAAAGGCCTCCACTTCTTTTCTAAGTTGGCCTCTGCTGCAAGATTTTTTTTCTAAACACAAAGAAGACCGATCCTGTGTGTGCTGGATGCGTATAGGATGATGTACGCGCATGACACTATGCACTTGTCCAGCACGACACTAAACGTTTTTTACGACTACGAAGCAACAGACTTGAGAGAGCGAAAAGACTGCAGAGATCAAACATGTGGCCATCAAAGCACACAGGACAAGAAATGTGAAAGGAAGATATTTTTTTAAGGCACTCCCCTGAGAACATAGTTTAGCGTTAAGTAAGCAGAAAGCACGAAGATTGCGTTTTGACAGTGAGACTGTAACAGACCACATCGAAGAGGCATGGTGTCTGTCAAAAACTTTTTAAAGGCCCCCGCACAGTTCGATTGCGAATCACTTGACAAGCTTGTGCTGTACCCTTCGTAGCTCAAAAATGTTTGGAAATCCCGATGAGAAAATTTCGCTGCTGGCTTCAGTAAGCAACGAAGCAACAGATGCGGTCTGTTAAAAATTGGTTGGCCGGACGAGTCTCATACACAGGTAGAAAATATTGATTCATAGACGAGCAATATCTTTTTTTGATGCCGTCGGCACACGCTCTCCGCCGGATGACCGCAAATGATGCTTCCTCTGTGAAAATTTCATGAGCCTGATATCCTTATTTTAATTAAACTATGTTTGTCACAGGATAAGCCACATTGCAATCTTTAAAAACTGCAGAAAGCCATAACAAAGTATTCAGCTAAATGGCAAAAGAAATATCGAAGCAAAGCGCAAACCAGAAGCATGAAGCGACCCCACATTCTTTTGGCTTCCACAATAAAAGCTGCTTTAGAAAAGACAGAAGGTGCAGGTAATAAAAAATAACAATAATAATAATAAAGTTTGTTTCGTTATCACCTATTCCCTGCCCTTTCAATGAGGCTGGGTTGGCAACCACTTCAAACTGTACCAAGTTGAGAGCAACACAACCAACAGCAAGGCCAACCATTGTAAGCAGTTTCTCCTTTAGAGGTGAAAGATTGAACACACAGACAGAGTTCAAAAAATAAAAATAAAGCTTGGTTTGTGCGTTGGTCACCAGTGTTCGAAGCATTTTCAAACTCGCAATATCATCACCCCCCCCCCCCCCACCTGAGCACCCCCTACCCCCTATTGCGCGACGAAACCCGGCGCTTGAAGTCTCAACGTGTAACAGGAATTTTCCTCGAAGCTCTTCTGCACCTTCCGCCAAGGCAGTTCATATTATTATTTGGTGGTCACTAATCGTCGTCGAAAAATCTGTGAGTCTGTGGAGGCTCACTTTGCTGCTACAGGCTCAGGGTTGCGCTTCCTGAGCTCCGAGCCGTCACCCTCGCCCTGTTGCTCGGGCGTGTCGTCCAGGATCACGTCGTCGTCCTGCAATTGACCCCGTAAAATTTAAGTGTAACAGGAGTACTGGCACAGAGATTTTGCATTCCTTCTGTTGAAATCGGCAGCTAACGACAGACTTGTCATGGCTAGAAACCGTGTTTGCTTGAGCGCACAACAGTTCAATATGCCGAGATGGTTTCATAGCACCAAGTAACAGTTTCGGTTTCAAAGAGTGAGGTGGGACCGAGAGTGGTTTTCACGCAGGCATTGCTGGCTGCATGAGCATGCAAAATGGCACGAACAGGAGCACTGAAGTGGCAACATTTTTCAACGAAGGCTTCCTAGGTGCTGCTCTGGGTTGTTGTAAATACGTGTGACGCCTCCAAATCAACTACGAACGGCAAGGCATAAACATCAGTGTTTGAAAATCTAGTGCAAGTTCATAAAGCAGATGCTCCTTTCCATTGAAAAGCTCTGCAAGAAGGGAGCCCCTGCAAGAATAATGTCAGCCTACAGAAACTTATGATCCAAGTGGCTGTTGGTCTTCACAAGGGTGGAAGCGGGCTTCAGCAGGGGTCACTAGAGCAGAAACTGTGAAGTTTTGATTCTAAGGGCTGCAGTAGCATCAGCGCATGGCATGATTTATAGAACCGTCCTATACGTTGCGCGCTCTCAAAGGTAAGACATCACATGAAAAGAGCATTTCTCCTTGGAGCGACCTCACTTTTTCTCTTACACCAGTGTTTTGTGAAGTTACGCGATTTCGAATCTAAAAGAGTTAGCGGTCAGCCTTAGTTCGCATGTTAACGGGGTCGTGACGTTGACGAAGGCAACAGTTGCCGTTTTCATGACTGAACTTTTTATTTGGGCGAACCCGAGTCCAGAAAATGAAGCGTCACTCTACAAGCAATGCACGCTGTGGACTGAGTAGACTGATAGCAGAAAAAATAGAGCATCGGCTGTCAATAATCTGCCAAGCACTGAAGTATGCCAGCACATTCTTGAAGATTCCAGTGTTATCGCTAGTGGTTGTGCAAGTTCCAGAACTCTAATGTACGCATTGTGCATGTAATCTCAATAGAAGATTATCTAGACGATTTCCAGTCATTCGAGCAAGGTTTGCACAAGGCAGTGTTACACATATAATAGGGCAGTAACAAAAATAGAATAAAAGAAGCGCATGTGGTATTAATTACTATTTGCCAAAATTGCATTCATCGCTTCGGCAAAGAAACAGATTTTTATTTTTTTCAGTTTTTATGGTTCGACAGTTTCCCATGAAGAACACGTGCTGCGCTTGGCGGTTGCTTGGCGAGATTTTTGCAACACCTCTGCCTTCTAGCAGCTTCGCTGTTAAAAGGTAAACTCGCATAATGAGGTCTGGCCACAAGCGCCACCTTAACAAGGTTCACGCATTTTGTTCATGTGGCACAAGATTCATGAATGGTGTTAAGTTCAGGCACGGTGCTCGCACCATGCGTGAATCGAAACACGACGTGACCAAACGTATATGGTTGCGGCTGCGTCCTTAGTGTACCCAACGCGTTTTGCTCGGTCGATCATAAAACTCGGCTAAATTTGGCATCGCACGCGCAAATTGTCATTTAGGCACAACTTGGCACAGCAGGTCAGATTGGTGCAGAATGGCGCAATCGGCACAGCGCTTCCACCCCTGTTTTCAGCATGGTCAAAAAACGCTGCCGATTAGTAGTTCTAAGTTAAACTTGATTAGTTAAACTTTGATTTAATTATCATGAAAGTAGTGATGCCAACTTGACGAAGCAGGAAAGAAAACATCTACAAAAGAATTATACTGCGAAAGAGCACGTAAACTGCCCTACACAAGCGAGCACCTCCTCTAATTTTGCAGCTGATTACAAATTTCCAAGCGATACACTAAAATATCATCTCCACTGATGCTACACAGCTTCGTCCATGCAACAAGTGCTTGAGCACTTTGAACTAAGTGCAAGGCACTCATGGCGATTTTCAGGGTTCTCAGAGCGAAAGCATGACCTACGAGGCCCGCGTTCCAAGATTATACCTGTGACGACATAGTCAGCAAAATTAAGGTCTCTGAGGCCTATGTATGTTGATTAGAGCGGTTGTGTTGGCACATGACAAGAGGTGCTTCCATGATATGCTTCCCGCAATCTGAATGCGTTGCCATTGCATGTTTGTGAGCCATTGTCATAATTTGCCACTCCACAGACGAGAAGCCTTCCAAGACTTCCAGATGCACTGGATGTTTTTCTACCAAGAAAATTTCGTTCTCACTATCTTCAATTATGGTCCTGTTCCCAGCACACCCCCCCCTCTCCTCCAGTTTGTGGGTAATTTGTAATTTCAACTAGTAGAGGGAAAGGGGACATTGCCAAAATCATATAAACATGGCACCGCTTGAATACCCCTAGAAGAAAGCTTTTTGAAAACACTCGCTTCCTTGGTCAATATATCGAAAGCTTCCCTACACAAGATCAAGTCCATGATGGAATGTGTATCAACATTGTTTATAATGTGAAATGAAGCATTCCTTGATTCAAACTAATGACAAGTGCATGAGAAGGCCCACCAAAAGTTGAGCTTTAACTCACCGACTTGTTCCCGGCTTCAGACTCGCTTCTCTCGTCCTCCTCTTCGTTGTCGGACTCTGACTTCTTCACAGGTTTGTACGAGGGTAGCTTTGGAGGGAATACTGTGTCTATGATGCACACGATCAACTGCAAACATTGATGATTAAAAAAAGATAGAATGAACTTTCACAAATCTGCATGACTGGACACTTTATTGATGCAATTTGACTGAGCTTTTGACACGTGCTTCCAATCGAACTTTCGACTGTAAGGCATGTTTCGCCGAACATCATCTTCTGCAGGTTTGGGTCAATATTCTTGCAACATCGGCCCGACCATACTCTACTTTGATAGGCAAGAAACCAAGCAAGCAGATGTGCAAGCCTTTGAGGGAGATGTGCAAAAGTCTGGCCTGACAATTTCTCAATAAAGGTATGTGTCTCACACTCATGGCTTGAAATTCAATTGAGTTAAAAATGCAAGCTTTTATTCAACAATCATCCATAACAATGAGAACACAGATGTTCAGACAATGCCAACTTATATGGGAGTCGTAGATGCTCCTATGTTCATTTTACTTCATAATAAACATAAGCACTTGTTAGGCTAAACTAGCTTAATAAAATACAATGACACAGTATACTGATGCCCTAAATATTCAGTACCGCACCAATTTATTTATCCATGTGCCCTAAAGGCCCGAAGGCATTACATGGGGGGGGGGGGGGGTAATAGTGTACATACATGAAAACTAACACGAACAATAAACCAATAAAATGTATGAAAAAGTAAATAACGATATATAAATAATGTACAAAATCACAGAACTGTAATTACAAAGACAAAACTACACTAAAAAGGAAGGGGTAACACAAGAACAAGCAAGGCTGAACTAATCATATGCATCTGGGTGCAACAAGAGTAAAAAGATCTTTATATTAGGTTTCTCTTTTGCGATGTCAAAAACAGCATGCTTGTGGCAAAAACATGCTTTAAAGCAAAAAGAAAGAGAAAAAAAAAAGGTCTCGTGATCAGCTGAAATGGATGCCTGTGGAAAAGGCATGCTTCACTACAACATACTGGTGACGCGCAGACAGCACATCCCCTGCACTTCACAGCGTAAGTGCACGACCATGGTGTGACCATTTGGCCATTCTAACTGGTGAAATAAAAAATTTCATAATGGCCAATGTGATGAATTTGTGGTGTGTTTTGGTGGGAAAACACTCATTGAAGTTTTCATACAGAGTTTTCGAAGTAGGCAGGCAAGAATTTTGCCAGCAGTGCAAGTGGGCGAAATCGCTGGGGCAACTGTAAAATGTAGGCTCGCATATCACATCACGAATTCAGTCGGACTGTTCCTTCATTAATTTCTTTATGTTGCAGAAAGAATGGGCAAATGAAGACGCGCTGACGTTGTGAGATGCATGCGACATTCTGCCCGCATGTCGCTCCTGTGTTGCAGTGAAGCAAGATCTCTTTCCCACAGGCACAATTTTAACTGAGCCCAAAACTGATCTATTTTTTGTGCTGGAAGCAGCAAAGCTTGGGTGCTTTATCTGTCACACATTAGTATAGTTACATTGCGCTGCTTTTGTGGCTCCTAAGGGCCGTAATTTCTGCAGATTAGCGGTGAAGTTGGGTTCAGAAATTGTCAGATAACCCAAAGTTTTCGAATTGACCAGACTGGGCTGACCGCCCCTTTATATTGTCACGGGGTCAGTGACGTGGATTGAAGGCAGGTGACGAAATGGTCAGATCAAACTGTTTATTTGGGCGAACCTGTGCCGGTTAAAGGGAAAGTCGGGTTACGGTAGCACACTTGCACTGATAGCAGCGCATGCAGCGTCGATTAACTGACAAGCGGCGAAGCACGTGGGCATTTATACACTTGCCATCGAATGTTCTAGCGTTATCGCTAGCGGTGACGTAGGTTCCAGAATAATGTGCACAGTTCGCAGAGTAGACGTGATCTTACCGAAATAATCTACTACAGTCCTGAAGCTTCCCGAAAACTGCAGGCGCGGTTTGCGCTGGGAATTGGGTGGTGTATTGAAGCGATAACAAAACATGAGAAATGAAACATGCCAATATTATCCACTTAAACTTACACGGGCAAAATATGAGACAGCGGAAATCCTTTGAATTAAGTAGGATTTCGATATAACAGAGTTCGAATCAATGATGTGTTACTTTATCTTCTTCCACGGATCATCAACGACACCTATTTCAGGAAAGAAACGTATGACTCACCAGACCCAAAACGGCGCCAATGACGATTGTTCCCAGGGCAAAGAGTATGTACGAGCCCCAGTATGGAATGCCATAGTAGTCAACCAACGTCGTGTGCAAAGCCTAAAAAAAAAAAAAAGCATGCTAAAATGTGACATAGTATGTTAAAAAGACACTTTTAAACCGATTTTTTCAAAATAAATAAAAAAAAAAAACGCCGGTCACTAATCGCATGTGACTTAGCTTCTTTCACCCGTGCCTCCCACCCCACCCCCCCTGCTGAGCTTTAAGCACACGTGTTAGAACAGGAAAAGAGAGAAAGCAATTGCAGCATGCGACAAATCTCTAACTCTGTTCGAACTTGTCTAACTCTAGAAATTTTTGCGATGGTCGATTTGCGAAGGAAGCAATGAAATCCTTCAGTGAAACCATTCGATGTCATTGGAAGAGTGTTGCGGGGTCTCTTTAACACCGGTCTGCTCCTTTACCCACTCTGCTCTCAGCTGGTTTCTTAAGGTTAGACGGTTTCCACGGTTTCCAATAGGTTTCCACGGCTCGATGCACAATTTAAGTTTACAGCTTTTTTTGTACGCCTCGAGAGTTCTACTCTGTCGGTAAGTATCAGCTGTTATATAAGTGTCTCTTGAGTGATAGTGAGAAACTACCACTCAAGATTTCTACACAGAACATTGTAAAGAAAGCTGCAGGCCAGCACATACCCTCAGACTCATGGACAGCTTGAAGAACTGCGCCACCAGAGACATCCTGAAAGAAAAAAAGAAAGTAAGCAAGAATGGTAAACTGTAGTTACTGGAATGATTATAAAGGCCCAACCCCATCAGCGCGAAAATGCACGCGACAGCGACAAAATAGGACGTATGCTTCAACGTGTCACCCGGTCGTTTTCGTGCGGTTTTTCAGATTTGGAAACCGTTGCCTATTGCCTGGAAGTGCCCTGCTCAAAGCATCAGAACAGGTTGCACATGAGTGATGTATGTACTGCCGATCAATTCCACATGTCAATGTGCCGCGAAACTCCTCTCCGCACAAGTCATGTGTGTGCAACTAAGAAACAACAAAATGTTTCCGTTTGTGATTATAAAGAAGGGCTGCAAGGCAATAATAAACACCTTCCATTTCACTATGCAACAACACATTTCATTTTTACATTGCGCACCACTGCCTGTATGGCATTTTTGGTACGAGTTGATGGCCTCACGCCATCAACAGTGGAGTTCGCTCGCCGAAGTGGTCACGTGAATGAGGTTTGTCTGCACAATCGACTGTTCACGCGAAGGCGATGTACGTTGACTCGCTCGTCGCACATATTTTCGCGGTAATGTTGTTTGGCCTTAGATGTGCCTTCTTACTGCTGCAACCAGGATTGCACTCTAGGCTCCCCAACACTGGCCTACTCCTACATTAATTCAAAAGGGCTGGCTTCCGAGCTAGACAATTTATCATGTTGACTAGAAATACATAGCAAACAAAAGGATTGTAATGATGTGAAGAGCTCGAGAAGACAACAACTGAAGAGAACACAATGCGATTCTTTGTCGCACTAATTGGTCTCCAAACTTTTCTTTGCAACTGCACGTTTATTTTTTTTTTTTTTAGATTCAGCATTCAGTAAGACTTGACTAAGCAGCCCAATTGACGCTGTCATGTGCAAGGTCAATGTGAACGTGTACAACAACTTGCTTTGACAATTGCGACATGCAAAATCATCTATGCCCCAAAAAGGATAAGGTTTTTAGTAGGATGGAGCCCAAAGTGATTCACGGAGCCAGAAGAAGGAATGCCACTGAAGCCAACATTGCAACGAGCTCCGTCGTCGAAATCTATACTATTTGTTCCACTGCTGTCATTTAAACCACTTGTCGGCAAAAAATAAGGAGCCATTTAACCTTTTCTTCAAAATTCTGTGACCCATACCCCTGTTACCCCAGAACTCTCGATCTCGATCAGTGAGGCGGATTTGGACTAGATTTTGCAGCTGCTACACAGTCCACACTAGTTCTGAGTGAATTTGGCACACAGACATAAGCTAAATCACAACCTGGGGCGAGATAACTAAAAGTGACACTGTTGCAGCATATCATCCAGTTTAACCTAACTTGGATTAACCTTGAACACTGTTAAACATGCCCCCATAACACTGTAAGCCATCTAGATGCACTCAATATCCATCTTGGCCGCGTTCAGCAAAGAACATTGCATTTCTGAAGACGAACTCATAAGCACTTGAAGTGCGATCAATGCAACCCACTTCAAGTTGAAAAGAGCTGATACTTTTTCGACAAGCTGAAAAGATTTAATACAATAGAAATAGAGTTAAAACTTCTTGCTCGTAACACATAAAGTGGTCACTCAAGTACTTGTTAGGTAGAGACCCGTTAACCTAACGATGGCTGCCAGCTATGGCTAAAGTCTTCATTGTCCCTCCTACAGAGAATTTGCATAGAGACTTCACCCACTAATGCTGCCTCAATTTCGTGACACCATGCACTTCGTAAGTGACTCAGATAGTTGGCTCTCTCATACAGACACGCATTTGTGTAGCTGGTCAAAAATTTGCCCATCGCAGTACATTACTTCAGGGATTTCGACACCCACTCAGCCAAACATTATGTCTGAGGTAGTAACGAAGAAACTTTAACTACTAATATGTGTAGCATTTACAATAGCAAAGAAAAAGTGATTATGGTTCCTGCGTAAACGAACTAGCACAACTGTCTCTCACACGTGAATGACAGCCATGCCACAATTCTGCGGGCAGAGCATACAATTTCTTTATTTCAGTTGTAATGGAATATAGGATCATTAAATAAAACAAACTGAAACTGCAAAACCGAGGTGTGACACACATCCAGCATGCAACACTGGCATCCGGAGAGGCTTAAAATAATCAATTCACGGCAAACGACCCTTGCAAAAAAAAGAGTGCCAGAGTTGCTGGACTCACTGTATGGACTGCGGGCTCTTCCATGCAGAGACTGGCTCAATGCTCTGCCATTTCTTCTCCTCGATGAAGTTGATGAAGGACTCCTTGTCTCGCGTGCCACGGTACTGCCTAAACTCGCCATCTTTGACGCTACGTGTAGAAACAACACAAACAAACATGTTGTAAAAGATACGAAAAAAAAAAAAAACAATGACCGCAGCAGTTTCATGACATGCACATCACCACAGTCACCAGTGCCACGATACTGACAACCCTAGTGCCGCATTTTTTGGAGTGGTTTGTCTCTAACATACCACACTTCTACGTTGTGTGCACACTTTTGTACACAGCAAGGACAGAAGAAAACCTCCATGCAACCTTGTCATTTCTGTCATGATGTATACGCCATGACATGGGTCTCCCGTCATTCTTGTCTTCATCTCTCATCCACTTTCATCATGCTCTGTCGTGCTACGAAAATTGTAGTATACCATATCAAAATCAACAAAATGAGCACAAGATCGCAAAGACGTCCGTAGCTACATAGATAAATGTGGTCAACGTGATCCTGTTCTGACAAGGAATGCTTCACAACCTTTTGCGGCTTGTTGTCGGAACCTGCTCAACAATGCAAAACAGTGGCAGTGGTCCGTGTTTGAGCAGGGTAGGACAAGTGCTTTTGCAGGTGAATCATGCAAGTGTTTTTTTTTTTTTCTTGATACATTATGTGTCATACATGATAGGGTTAGTAAACCTAGTTACCTAAGCTTTCAGTATCACATGACAATGCACGAAACGTAGAAAAAGGTTTTGGACTGCATATCTGGGTTGGGGGAAATCCATAAATCTATGGCATTGTCACACGCACAAACCAGCAACCTACAAAGTGTTGCGTTTCATTATCCCTTTTCTGATGATGTGTATATTTTGTGCGGCTGTTGAATCATAAGTTGCAACATGCAGACACGCTGTCTAGGCCTTCTAAGAGGCCATTAGCAAGAGCTACAGCGCCTAGAATATTCTAGGCACTATAGCTTGAGCTTTTTCCTGTCTTTTTACAATACTCCAACTGATCCTTTATCATTGCAAGCTGAATGCAGAGCATGGATTGCTTCATGGCACCGTTATGTATAAGTTGTAATCGTGCAGTGTATTTCGCTATAGCGCAACTGGAATCTGGGATTTGCTGAAAGTCACGTATAGAATGTTTTTGACACTGTAGATCCCCTTATAAATCTTTTTTGCGCACTGCACTCTGCAAGCTTTGGTTTCAAGTGTATGCATCTATCAGTCAAATGGGCTTTAGCGAAAGAGTTCGGTGATGAGGGCATTACAACGTATGCCATTTGATTTGCCTAAGTTGCGCTGTGTAGATGCCATTAAACCTTAAGGCATTAAGCAGTTAATGCCATTTTCTGTGGCCATGCAACACCCACATTAAGCTAATTTGCAAACATGTCTGCTAAGTAATACATACTACTCCAAATGCTTGATGCGTACTGCAGTGAGCATGCTTTTGTGCCAAGAGCATGCATTTCTCAGTCGAATGGGTTGTAACGAAGGTGTCAAGTAACGAATGATTGATTTGATGTGCGAGGTTTTACGTCCCCAAACCACCACATGATTATGAAAGACGCCGTAGTGGAGGGCTCCGAAAATTTTGACCACCCGCGGTTCTTTAACGTGCACCCAAATCTGAGCACACGGGCCTACAGCATTGTCGCATCCATCGAAAATGCAGCCACCAGAGCTGGGATTTGATCCCGCGACCTGCGGGTCATCAAGTAACGAATGGCCTTAGGGTAGATGCCAATTCATTTCTCCTCATTGCAGCACGTAGATGTCGTTCAAGCTTAAGAAATCAGGTGGTCATTGCAGTTTTGCGCGTCTGTGTGGCGCAGGTGCAAGACTGATTTGCAAACGAGCCTGCCAAGTATAACTCAAGCTCGTCGCAAATACGCCGGTACGAACTATACAGGCTGCGGTTTTTTTTTCGGCAACGCGTTGTCAAAGCTTGTTCGAGCGAAACTCACTGATAGATTGTCGGTAGCGCCGTAACCATGAACCTCCCGCTGAGACCTGCAATTGAAAGAAACAAGAACGACTCGACGTCAGCTCGTAAGGTCGGTGTACCACGGTGACAATCGCCCTCCCGCGTGCATTCGTTTCATCGACTCTCGACGTTCACCTGGGTTCGTAGTGACGTCGACATGGGCAACTTTGACGCCCAGGTCTTTGCTCCACTTCGAGAAGTCGTTCCACACGGGACCCAGCGCCTTGCACGCCGGGACACCAGGGCGCGAAGCTGAAAGATAACCGCACAATGCGAGGAAAATAACGTACCGTTTCTCGCGACAACGCTCGCGACGTTGGCAGAACGAGGCGCACGTTTTCGGTGCTTTCGAAACGCTGCGTACGTGACGGTGCAAGCGAAAACGGCGGAAAGCGTGCGAAGACGCAGAAGCGGTAAGATCGGGATCTTAAGCGTGCGTTAGCGTATGGAAGCATCGCTGACCACTCGCACTTGTACAAAACGAGAACGCGTTACAGTTAACCCCACCCCACTGTAAAAACCAGCCCTTCTCAATCAGATATCCCGGCGATAATAGGACAGCTGAGTAAAAGTAAAGTTCGACGCTGGGGTTCACTCACAATTCGACCATCCATTCTCCTTCGAGAAGCTTGGTCCACGAGTTCTCGTCGAGCTCGACAAGTTCACCGACCACGCTGACGTGTGCGCTCGACACTAGCAGAGCCACGGCGAGCCACACCGACCGTGCTGTCATGATCGCCATTTTGAACCACGAGCGCGGATGGAATGAATGCCTTTCGTAACGACCTGAAGGTGTCGCTACCAATTTTGACGTGTCGCGCCATCTCTTAGCTACTAACATAAACACAAATTTTTGTCATGGCCTCAAAGACTAAAAATTACTGTAGAAGGTCTCAAAGGTCACGTTGTTCCTCAGTGTGCACGACAGGGTGAACGGTGACCTCGGCAGAATCACAGATAGTTTGGTAGGCTAGCTGGTGCTAGTTTGGCTTCATAATGAAGTTAAAGCGAGCGGCGCTAGAACAAATTCGACGGACAAGACGAGCACAGGGCATGCGCTTCACTCACAACTGAAGTCTTTATTAGCTAAGCGCCTCGTGCAGGACAAAAACAAAGTTGTCCCATTCCATTCAGATATCACCCGGCGACGTCCTCAACCTTATAAACTATTCCTTAAGCAATGCCTGGATACCACATGACTGGAAAATAGCTAGAGTGATTCCCATATTAAAAAAACAAGGGTCAGGTTTTAACATTGACAACATCAGACCAATCTCTCTAACATCTCACCTGATCAAAATTATAGAGAGAGTTCTCATAATAGAATAAAAGTTTGGATGGCTGACAAGCTAATATTGAAACCATTTCAAATAGGTTTTCGTAGCGAATGCTCAATTTGGTGTGCTCATGCCGACTTAGAGAGCCGAATACAGCTTGCCCGAAAAAGACGACAATACGCGGTACTAGTAACACTAGACATAGCTAAAGCTTATGATAGCGTTGAGCACTCAATTTTATTGAATTCTTTACACGAATGTGACTTTCCGCGATATATTGTTGATTGGGTAGCAGAGTTTCTAAAATCGAGAGAATTTTATTGTGCAAAGGATGGATGTCACTCATCTAAATTCAAACAGCAACGTGGAGTACCTCAAGGGGCGGTCCTATCTCCGCTGTTATTCAATGTGTTGATGAGCTCAATTCCCATTGAACGAGATATCACTGTCTACATTTATGCAGACGACATTGCATTTTTCGTTGCAGACAGTGACATTTATTCTTTGCATCAAAAATTGCAAAAGTACATGTATTCTCTTGAAATTTGGCTGCATTCAATTTCATTGTCTCTAAACATCAGTAAAAGTGCGCTCCTGGTGTTCCCTATAGCAGATTCTATTCAAATTTCAGTACTTTATAATCAGGAACCGATTCCACAAGTAGAGTCTATCAAATATTTGGGCATTATTTATAACGAGAAACTTAACTGGAGCCCTCACATAGACTATAACGTGGCAAAGGCACAACGAGCTTCAGGCTTATTGCGAAGGTTGAGCAACAGAAAATATGGGTTACGTAGACACACCTTATTAATGATATATAAAATGTACATGCGCCCAATACTCGAATTTGGGTGTATATTATTTTCGGGTGGCCCTACGTACAAAATTAAACCGTTAGTTCTATTAGAGCGAGAAGCGTTACGGTTGTGTTTGCGACTCCCCAGGTATGTCGCTATTAATGTACTATATCAGGAAGCTCGCATACCAACTATTCTTTGCCGATTCCGTATCTTAACAGTACAAACATACTTGAAATTTTACGGCTTATCAGCGAGACGGTCTGCATATGCCTTTATTAGTGACCCCGACGCCTTCTTCCTCGCTCACTGGCCACGCTTTCGTACTCCCCAGATTATTTTTGTACAAAAGAAACTTGAAAGCATAAAGGTGGATATCAGATCGGTAATTGGAACCAAAGCATTAAATCACAATATTACGATAGAATGTGATGAAATTTTTCCCCCACTATCTAAGTTTCAATCTTCGAGTTACTTAAATGACAGGTTAGAAGACTACATAGCTCATGCGGAAATAAAGAACATATTAGCCACAGACGCTTCTGTGAATAAAGAAAAGGCAGCAGTAGGAATCGTCTCAGATTACCTCGGTTGGTCATTCTCGGTAAGACTACCAGACTTCACTCCGGTTTTCGAAGCTGAGCTCCTGGCTATTATTTTAGCGCTACGAAAACTTCCTTCAAACGAAGAGAGTGCAATGATAATTACTGATTCTCTTTCGCTGTGTACTACTCTCACAGCTTCAGAACAATCAAGAGCTCTAGCGACATTACAAACATTAGTTCCACCTCATGTGAAGTTCCTGAAGTTAGTCTGGGTCCCGGGACACTGTGGCATACGGTTGAATGAAATAGCCGATTCACTATCTCGAGCCACACTTGATGGCCCTGTGATCTCGGTACTACCAGAATCGGAACACATAGTGTCGATCAGATATAGAAAATGGGCTATTTATACGGATATTATGGAAAATATTACTAAATATACGGACTATCAGCACCTAACATACCCCTGGAAACCTCAGTGGAGTCAATCTAAAAAGTTAGAAGTTATTTTAACCAAATTTCGATGTCGTGTCCCTCCATTAAACTTTTACTTGCACAGAGCTGGTCTGGCGATATCCCCCCTGTGTCCATTCTGTGAAGAAACGGAAACAATAGAGCATTACTTTATAACATGTAAAAACTATTCATTAATTAGGAAAAGACTTTTAATTGTTCCGTTTCAAGCAGTAGGTTTAAATTTAACTGCAGATAATGTTCTAAGTTTCGGTGCCTTTAGCTTGGGACATTGCCACAGGAGCGTATTCGATGCTGTATGCAATTTCATTCGAGAATCAAAGCGCATGTCATAATAATGCCTGCTTAAATATATTTCTGAAGACACTTGTCTAATTTTGAATGAAATTTGCATATTCATTTGATTGTGACCGGGTGAGATAAGCTCGATTGTCTGGTCTACTCAAAATTTCTGTCTTCCACTGTAGTATTACCTCACCTTTTCTCTTCTTGATTCAATCTTCAATTATTTGTTTAGTTTAATATTCCTTTTTAGTTAATTATTATTTTCTATTACATCATTAGTTTTTTCATAAAGGATAAACCTTTTAATATATCTCATATAGGATACTTCTAGATTTCATGGCCAATCCCCCATAGTGGGTATGTGCCAGTGCGAAGGGGCAACAACAACAACAACCATTTATATAAGCGCACAACGTATAATTCCCCCCCCCCCCCATAAAAATAAAAAAAAAAGAATCTGGCTGCGCACTTTGCAAGACATTATTTGCGGTGGCTTTTGTAATTGCTTGAAAGATTTAACTGCCCACTAATCACATAATTCGCATCGTGAGACGCGTGGTTTTTAATTTTGCTGTCCTCGAGCCATCATTAGGAAAAGGTTCTTGGGATCTTTATGGTCTTGGCAACGAATATGACATACACTCAAGTACGTATCCAACATGACATATCATTCATCACTCGGCGAGAAGAGCGGTACCTGTGACACACCTGATATATGTCTTGTTCAAACTGTGGCGACATTGATATTGCTGTGCTTTGCGTAATGGGCTGGCAGCATTCAATGACGGACAAGAATGTTCATGAACGACTGGCAAAATTAAATGCGCAATATTTAGGTGCCAGGAGCTGTCTGCGAATGGAAGTTTCCCATGCTTTGTACCTATTTTGAAACACTGCACATTTATGAACTGCACATTTATGAAGATAGACTTATACTGGGAGGAAATGCAAATATTACGGCTATTCCTAATGGGGAGAGTTTCTTACGTGAGCTTTGATCCCCATGAATAATTAAGGGCTTCTACGACCACATGAGTGACAGTTTCAGCTGACAGACGTGAAGGTGTCTCCTTTAAAGTATTGTTGTGCTGGTATATAGATCGAGTCTCGTTAAGGTATAGTACGCGTTGCCGCTAAGCATTTGACGACTGATTAGCGAAACATTGAAGAGCAAGTGAACGAGCCGCCAAGAGCAGTGAGATAGCTGTTGGAATTGAAGCTAGGCAATTGAAAGATTTCAAGACATGTGGAATTTCCGTAAGGCCAAATGAAAAAGTTTGCTGTTAAACTACATACAATTATTTGATGCTTCGCGCAGAATACATAATATATAACAAATTTGCGTGACTACTTTCCAAGATTATTTATTGCGAACATCGTGATATGCGTATCTATGCTGTTTTAAAGTAAAAGAAGAATTATTTAGCACTCCGAAATGGCATTTTAATAGTGTTATACATTTGATGAATCAGACGAGCTAACAACGGTGAAGTAGCTGGGAGATTAATTAACAACTCAATTCACGATTTTTTTTTTTTTTTGGCCGCTGCACCCTACATGGACCAGTATCATTCTGTGAGCGTTTGATATCTTAAACGTTGAAAGCTGAAAATGATCTTTATAATATGAATGTGACAGAAGATATTGGAGATCAAATATGCAGCTAACAAGAATTATAATATTTAAAGTAGAAGCTTTCAAAGGGGCTATTGATGATTAAACTGTGTTATGATCCTACTTTTCCGACGTGTCCGTGTATTATGTATGCGAATATCATCAAACCTGCTGTGAATGAAGTTCACAATAAGAATATGCAGTTTTAATTTATTCTAAAACTGAAGACATTAAGCTCATAAATAATGAAGCAACTTCAGAAGACACAGTGGCAGTGGCATTCGTACACATAATTATTAGCGTACGGATACTGAATACTACAAGCAATTGGACGGTAATTCGTCATCATTCAATGTACGTATGTTGAATGAGAGAGATGTATTCAATAAACTAAAGGCAATTCAGGCAAATCAAATGTTAACTCTGTGGTTTCGCCTGAACAGATTATGCCATATAAAAAGGAAACAATAAAAATGACGAAATAAAAAGCTCAGGGCTGTAACTAGACATGCCGGTGGCACTGTGAATGTACCCCTAAATGTGTAGCCATAAAAAAGACGGAAGGGTTGCATTTAAAACTGTTGTAAAATGTGTGAACAAAGTTGAGAAATAAAAAAAAGCACTAGGTCCAAATGTATCGGCTGGGCTGCTCCATGCCACCCATTCACAGGTGCTATCCCGCTACTGCAGAGCGCGGGAGCTTTTGCCTGCTGCGTTTCCGCCCTGGGCCGGTTCGCTCCTCCTTAGGCGACCTGGTCGCCCTCGGGTTCCCCTGGGGCCACCATATCGACGCCCAGCTTAGCGCGGACACCCGATCAACATAAGTCAACATGGGACAGGACTCCCAGCCTCAACCCGTCCACTAGTGCAAGCCTCCAAGTAGCTGGATTACAGGGGCACGCCACAACCCCCGGCGACAGAGCGATGTACAAACGCGAGCATTTGTATGCACCATTCTCTTGCCCTCATAAAACTTTTTTTTTATTCTTTTGGTTTGGGAAACCTTCAGAGCATGAATCGTCATTAGAAATTCGAGGGTGCGCACCGCAAGGACGTTACAACTAAGAACTAATACAACGCACACATTTCGACCTCTGCACGACGACATACGAAGATTTGCTTTAGCGCTGCCAGATGCCGCCACGGTAGCGAAAACTGAGATTAAAATGAGCGAAGCCTGTTACAGTCGCTCATAGATGGCGACACGTATCGCGCCGGCGCGTAAGTGCTCGCTGATTTTCAAGTCTTTGGTTTGCTTTGGTTTGGTTTGCTTTTATTCAAGGCAAAATTGAACAAGATTGCCTTGGGGGACACGACTAAAGGCTAAGGAAAAGCCTGACTAGGCCGTGCCACCCTGGCAGCAAAGCAGAAACACACCGCAAGCACAGCACTCAGAAAATTATAACATCACGTGTTATCTTACACAGGCACCATAATCAAACAGGAACCGCCAGAAGTGTGAACAAAAGAACAGAAATACAAACAGTCCTCATTCGAGTGGTGGCAAACACAAACAAAATGCATGCCCTCTATCAAATAAATTAACAAGAAACATCTTGACTAAGAAATCGAGGTGCTCTACAAGACAAATTAGAGTATAATAAACAACAGGCAAAGGAACAATAATGAACAAGGTGCAACGAATACAAAAACATCATTAACTACAAATTTCAACAATCAAGAAAAGCATCGCTTTCATCCACTAGGAACTCTTTCGTTATTTTTTTAAATGATCTAGCTGAAATTCCGTCTTCCAGTAAATGTAATATAGTTGGGTGTTTGTTTAGAATGTTTGGAATTTGTGACACTAATCGTTGGTCACCGTAGTCTGAAACGCCAAATAAATGTTTCATTCCCTCTGCCTCCCCCCCCCCCCTCTTCTTTTTCTTTCTTTCGTGAAGTTATCCTCTGAGTATACCTCTGTCGGCTGTTTTATTTCTTATGGGGCGTTCAAAGAGTACATTATTAAAAAAAAAGTCATAATAGACAGAATTTAGTGCGCCTACTTTGAACAGTTAGCAGCTTCGCGCATTGTCAATCTGATTATCTTGTATAAGGTGAGTGATGACTGGAATGCAACGCATTAGTTATTGAACTGCATTATTTTATAGCAAAAACTGTTATGAGATTGGTACAAGGACCGATTCTGGCGGCGTGGTTGTCCGCCACCATCGTCGGTGTCCATATTCGCTGTCGCGCGAAATAAAATGTGAAAAAAAAAATTACTAAGAATTGATTGGAATTTGAACTAGGGGCCTCTGCGAGGTAGGCGCGTACTCTACTACAGAACAACCCTTGTGCTTGAAACTGCGTTGCAAATTAACCTTACGCCCGCAGGCTTCATGCCGGTTAGGATACCACGTTAAGAGCGTTTCCGAAGAGTAATAAAGTAACATCCTGTCATGACGCAATGTGAATTGCGTAACGAGTGGGCAGTTGAATTCTTCCAACCCATTGCAAAAGCGCAGACATATTTATTCATGGTCGTCAGCCACAGCACCAACTCAGTGCACGTAACGCCTTACAGGTGCGTAGCGGGTACCACGCTTCTCAGACGAATTACGAATACTACTAGTGGAATAGTGCACGCTTCCTATACCCGAGGAAGATTAACGGTGAATTATGGCGTAGTGGGTGCCATGCAATTTTGTCCGTAGAAGTTGACCAAGCGTGTTTATATAAAAAAAAAAAAAAACATGTATTAAAGGCTGCTCTTCTAGATTTCGTTATCGATGTGATGCGCGTTACGCGCTAACCTCGCAGTTTCATTTTTTTTTTCTTTTTCTGTCGGCTGAGTCGGTGTGGTCGGAGTATGAATGGGGAGGACTTTTCGCCACCTGTTGTTGTAGTTATAATACATGTTCCATTGTTGTTGTGCCACCTGCTCATATAACTTATTTTCTAGAGCCAAAGAAAAGAACACTGCCTGTGATACTTATTATGTAGTATTGTTGACGTATGTACACAGCTGATGAAGCGTTGCTCAAAGCTACTGTGCGCTCTCTCTGGCGAGCCAAGAAGCAATGAGGATCGCCTTTGTTGCTCTTGCCCTCGTTGCTGTAGCGATCGTGTACTTGGAACTGCAGCTTGCTGAAGGGAAAAGTGAGTCTACCTAATGCTGTTAAAGTATGAATGCATGGTAGGGTTGGGCAAATATTGAAGGTTTCCCGATATCGAACCGATATCAAAACAAATATCGTATATGTCACTCGTCATTATCCTCATCATTGTCACCAAGCTAGGAAATAGGCGCTAGAATACACAAAAAACGTGGCTACAAAACAGGGTGCTTACTCTAGGCAAAAATGGCCGACTGAAGAACACGCGCACACCGAACTTTGTTGTCCCTCGTCGAGAGGCTGGACACTAGTTGCCAGCCTACCTCGCGCCAGTATGAGTTATGACCGAGGTCCCTGTGAATAATCTTTAACCCCACACTTTCTTGCGAGAGCTAATCTTCGTATTTCTTAATTTGGTAGCACCACATAATCTTTCAACGTCATTGGCCGCGTGTGCATATCGCAAAAAGTAGCAAAACGAGAAGGAACAATATCTGCCATTACAATTCAAAAATAAAGAATAAAAGTACATGCTATCAGGCTTTTGTATATTTATGATGCTGTTGTTAATGAAGTGATAAGTTGGAATGATCGCGCAGTAAAATTTTAAGCTCCCACATTCGCAAGGCGAGCACAATAACATTGATAGCAACACGTCTAAAAGTGAAAAAAAAAAAAAGCCCTTAAACTTATGCACTGTAATGCCAGCACATTATCTCTTCTTTTTTTTATGAGCATCTAAATGCTGATGAGATGGCATTCTTGGCGGTTATTTTATTAAATGTATTTACACATCATACAAGTATACGGTGCACCATCTATTTTTAGCCTGAGTTTAAAAATGTGCCGACAGACGCAATGGCGACGTGACTAAATGCACGTTGCTGAAGGTAGCCTGAAGTGAGTCAGAGTATTCATGTGTTCGGAATAATTGTTTAATGAAGCGCATTTAATTAAACTTTTCGGGGAACAAACATGGGTGAAAATTTCAATGAGGAAGTTGTAGATTGGTTCACAAAGCATCCGATTAGACAAATTTGAACTTTATATCTGTTAAGTATTAGTGTTTGACTGCTAACTAGAAATGTCAGTTATATGCAAAAAAAAAAAAAAAGACATGTGACGAACCCACTGGTGCGTGATTCTAGTGCTCCTTAACGTTCGAACGATACGTTTGCCTCGCAGCGGTTTATGACTGGGATAAGCAGTCACAGCGGTTATCGCTCTTGTTGCTGATAGCAAAACGTGTTGATCGCAAACTCACCACCATTGTCGCGGCCCTGTCGAAAACAATTGGGTTAATGCTATGGTCGTTTGTTCGCGAAACAGTATAGGGATCGAACACTAGAATCATCGTGAGCACTGGCGCGTGAGTGGGCTTGTCACGTGTTTTTTTTTATTTGCATTTCGCGGTAATTTGTAGTTAGAAGAAAAACACAAAATATTAATAGATACATAGCTCGAAACTGTCTAATCAAAAGTTTTGCAAACCGATGAACAACTTTCTCGTTGGAATTTCTGGCCCATTTCTGTTTGCTTAAAAAGTCACAGTTTTGCCGCAAAGGCGAAGCAATGAATGCGATAGCAACGATTTGAAAGGTCACGCGCAGAATGGAAAGCAGATCGAAACGTGCCCCGCGTTTCTCGCACAAATTACGCACGAAGCGTACCCACAGGTACGGATGCACGCGCATAAGCGTCTCATTTGTTACTTCGCTGAGTCTGGAAAGCGCGCGCTTTTCGAGAACGGAGACTGCAATGATTGCAATGACCTTTGGGTGCCCGGTAAGTACAGCAGAATCATTCTACGTAAAGCCCGAGGCCAGCCAAGGAGTACGATCCTTTCCTCCTCACCACCGCGAGATAAGGGCGCGCGAAGGAGTGCCGCTCCCATTCTCTAAGCCAGGCAAAGTACGCGTACGATATTAGAGCGGGCGCAGCGATAAGGCCGAAAAGACAGGAGCGGTAAGTGGTAGATATAAGGGAGTTTTAGCTTGTACGTACACTTCTTTACGTTACCGTGTTACCGGATACCGGATAGAATCTGCGCATGCGCGGTTCTTTACGGAACGTAAACCTTTACGTTTCCCGCCGGATCTGCTTTGAAAGTTTACGTTTCTTGCCATCTAGACATTACGTTTACAACCTTATCTCGCAAATCCACATTCGTTCGTAGATACTCGTGGTATGCGCATTGCGGGGACTCAAACCGTCGAGTTGCTATAAGCAGAAGTAGCTGAAGTGCGAGCGCCAATGGCCATTACATTGTTTCAGCCGGATTACCAAAGCTAGAATGGTCTAGGACATAAACGCCGTAACCATGCGAATTGCAGAGAAGCTGGATAGGTGGCGCCACCTAGCGGAGCGATAGTGAACCAGGTAATCACAAAATTGTTATTGCAGAAACATTGTGCATTGTACGTCTGATGCAAAAAACGCGCAGCGCCGTTATTACAAATGAGTTACCTTTTTAATCATTTTCACCTCAAAAACATTACGCGTAAACCAACGTGTTCATGACTGTGGTTGCACGACATGTCACAAGATGTCGACACCATCGTTGTATTAGCCTTGTATTTTTCACTTTTTCGCGCATATGAGGATACTGTACGCAATAAAAGAACGTCTCGTGATTTCACTACAATGGTGATTCAATCATATGTAAGGTGAATGCAGTTTATATGCAGTTAGCATCACCATTTATGGTTTGCGTAAACGTAAAGGTATACGCGTTTACGTACGTACGTGAAAATTTACGTATGAGGAGCTAACACGTTGAAAGGTATCCGTTCCGGTAAGACGGTAAACGCGAACCGGTATCCGGTAACACGTTAACGTAAAGAAGTATACGTACAAGCTAAAACTCCCTATAAATAGCTTGCCGTTTGAACGGTGAAGCATGTTCTCCGGGGTGACTCAGTGGTCAACACCTCACTTTCACGACGCAGAGGTCCCACGCTCGATTCCGCGCGCCGGAGTGCTTATTCTGGATTTCTTTTCTTTCTTGCGTTTCAATATATATATATATATATATATATATATATATATATATATATATATATATATATATATATATATATATATATATTTGTTCATATACATATACGGTGTATGACATCGACGCCGGCGACAAAATCTAGCCGAGAGTGTCTATATAATTGATATTGCAATAAAAGTTAGTCTGGTCTCAAAAATTATTTTCTTTTTCGTGAAGCTACCCGAGTTGAACTTGACAAATTGCAGCAGAGTGAAAACTGCCTCAGAATTGGCATCCAGATTTTAGTAATTGTGGGAATCAGTGTCGATACGGTTTTCGAAATCTTTTACGCCAGATCCCCTTCGAAGTGACCCATAAATTTCATACAAAATACGTACTTTTTAATGGAAAAGTTAGGTGACATGTTGGTCGAACTCACGAGACCCCCCCCCCCCCCCCCCAACTCCACCTATACCATTTTTACTGTCCCGGTCCGACTAAACATCGTGACTGTGGCCCGCTAGATCAGGTGAGTTTGAGTTTTCTGTGCTACATATATCATTACTTTAAACGACATGTGACAGTTGATGAAGTGTTGCTTTAGGTGACGGTTTTTTGGTCGTCATGTCGAAGGGTCACTGGTGCAAGCACTTTATAATTATGTTTTCAGAAAGAAATGTTTAGTTGTTAATAACGCATTGTGTGTTTGTTTCTGGCCTGCTTCTGTGGTTGCTTGTACGAGCCTATTGTGTTCGTGATATCTCTGTAGCTTTTATTTAACACCAACCGCAGCATTTGTTTCTTTGCAGTACGCATGAAGATTCCAAAACTAAAACTGAAGAAAGGGCCGAAAATTCGTGGTGAGTGCGTCTTTGTACATTTCCCCTACCCCAAGTGACGCACCTCTATCGCCATAACGTTTCATGTAAAACGTTCAAGTGTGATAAATAGCGACCCGCGCATCTTCTATTCTGCGTCTGGGAAAGAAAGCGGGCAAGGATGCGTAAAAAAAAAAAAAGTTCTTTGACTTTCAAAACAAGGCACGAGACACTGGACGCTCTCTACTATGCCGCAGCGACTGTCTGCAACTGCGTCTAGGAGTATGAATCTCCTCAACATTTTTCAGCACCTCTCCGTAACAAAGCAAGCTCAGTGCTGAGCCAAATATAGTGTCTGTGCGCAAGCTTGGGGACACCCCGGTTGCGGTGATCACCTTCGCGGGGACCAAGGTGCCACGGACGGTGTTATACAACTGCGAGCGGCTCCCTATTCGCTTGTATAAGAAGACAGTGCCTGTATGCCCACTTTGTGGCACAGTGGGCCATCGAGCAGATACTTGCCCGCGCCCGCAGCCCGGCCGCTGCACAAGCTGCGGCGTTCAGGTACCTGCTGCTACTCCTGACGGCCCTACGGAACACCAGTGCATTCCGAGCTGCCTCCTCTGCGGCGGTGGCCACAAGACTGGAGCTCCCGGTTGTGCTGGACGGTTCCGGCAGCCGGTCAAGTCGGGATCCCCACGCGGATCCAAGCCGAGGACAACGGGGGGGGGGGGGAACGGGGGGAACAAACAGGCTCCGACTCCCAAGGCTGGCCCCAAGAAAGCACCAGCCGCCAAGTCGAATAAGCCAAAACTCAAGAAGACCGACACCGGGCACTCCACCAATGTAAAGCCTGGGACCCCGACGGAGCCTCCTGCCTTGGTCAAGGACTTCCCACCCCTGACACCCGTCCAAGCACAGGTGAGCTGTTGGGGTGGGGCAGTCTCTGGACCTTCCTCTTCTCCCTCCCCTACCGAAACCGCCCTACAGCAGCAGATAGGGGAGCTCAGGCGCCAGAACCAAATTCTTGCGCGCAAAATTCAGGAATTAGAAGCGAAGCAGGTTGGGTCATCCGAGCCAGTGCAGGAAGCCGAGGCAGAGGACAGGGATGACGGCTCTTCCGTCACATCCCGCCTCACTAGCGTCTCGCGGCAGGACGCGGACACGGTAGTTGGACCAGCTTCCATTACCGGATCCATCGGTCGCATCGAGTCCCTAGAGCAAAAAACCGAGCAATTAGAGGCGAGCGTGGCAGCCCTCCCCACTCAAATTATGTCGGCAGTCCGCGAGTCCTTTCAGGACATGTTCACGGCAGCCTTAACGCAAGCACTTCCCGAAATTGTGGCGCAGGTCTCTAACTCAGTTCTTAAAGCCATGCAGCCCTGGGTTATCGCCCAAATTAAAAACACCACTCAGACCGACTCCCCGCAGGTTAAGCGCAAGCCGGCCTCCCGTCAGGCAGCAGAAGAAGGCTTTTCGGGGCCGGCTCCAGGTCCGGACCGGTCCTCTGCACCGTAAATAAATACTAAAATATGGCTAGCCAATCTAATAAACAAGCTAAATATCTAAAAAAATTTGAGATTATACAATGGAACTGCAGGGGTTTTAGAGCCTGGAAAAAACGGTCGCACCTCCAGCTCTACTTGCAGTCCCTCGGAAACATGCCCGCCTTGCTTGCTTTGCAGGAGCCCGGTTTGGACGTTAAATTCTCTGGCTATAGCACGTTCCAGGGGGGGCCCTCGTCATGCATCCTGGTGAACAAGGCATATACCGCGATTCAGGTCGATTTAAACTTAAGTACTGAACAAGAATACACAATGGTCAGAGTACTGCCTCTCAGACGTCGCGACCAGTCAATACACATCCTAAATATATACAGCCCCCCGCATAAGCCCCGCGTAACTTTTAGCGAAATCTTCCTCCGGGCGATCAAGTTGGCAGACAAGGACCCCTTAGTGATCGTGGGAGACTTCAATGCTCCCAGCCTTCACTGGGGCTATCACTACGAGAAAGCCAGAGGACGTAAGCTGGCGGAGCTTATCTCCACCCTTCGCCTCACGCTGCTCACGGATCCGGCGTATCCCACTCGAGTGGGGAACTCGGTAACCCGTGACACATGTCCGGACCTCTCTCTCGTAAAAAACGCTAAGGATGCTACCTGGGAGAACTTGGGCGATTCTCTAGGCAGTGATCACTGCCTTCTCCGGGTCACACTCCTGGAAAAGTCAGCTCATAAAAAATGCGGTCAAGCCAAGTTGACCGATTGGACCCAATTTCGCAATCAGACTATCCCTCCCGTACTATTTTCTGGAGGCTATGCAGAATGGGCTCAACACGTAAACAACATTCAGAAAAGACTTACTACTACCCTCCAAACCAACGAAGAAACCCCCGCAGTTGACAATCACCTCCTACACTTGTGGGAGGCGCGCCGAAGCTTAACAAAACGTTGGAAAAAGCAGAAGACTAATCGCAAATTACGTATCCGCATAGCCCAACTCACGGAACAAGCTGCAGCGTATGCTGCCCAACTCTCAGATTCAAATTGGATAGCCCGCTGCGACGCCGCAGCTCGTCAGATGAGCTCGAAGGGGACATGGCGTCTCTTTCGCAGTCTCATAGACCCCTCTCAAACGAGAGGGGAGGCGCAGAAGCAGCTCCGGCGAGCTCTGCAAGGGTACCAAGGCACTCCGGCACAGCTTGCGGATGCTCTGTGCGATAGGTATCTCTGTCGTACGGAGGACCCGCCTGGGCCGGCGTACACGTACTCTGGTAAGCCTAACCACCAACTCGATGCCCGTTTTGAGTTGCATGACCTTAAAGCGGCTTTAGCTAAAATGCGCAGGGGTACGGCTCCGGGGCTGGACCGCATAACAGTAAAGCTGTTGGCAAACCTCCCTGACACAGCCTACCTCCATTTATTGGAATACATGAACGAGATCTGGGACGGCCGTGCGCTCCCTTCCGAATGGAAAACGTCACTTGTGACTTTTATCCCCAAAGCAGGCAAGGCCGTGAATACGGAAAATCTGAGGCCCATATCACTGACTTCGTGCGCGGGCAAGCTCATGGAGACGATGGTACGGGATCGCCTCTCCCCATACCTTGAGGGCAAGGGCTTCTTTGCAGACACCATGTTTGGGTTTCGCCCACACATGTCTGCACAGGACGTCCTTCTCCAGCTCCATAGGGCCGTCATACAGCCCATAAGTATGCAACACAATGATAAAGCCATCCTCGCCCTTGATCTGAAGGGGGCTTTCGACAATGTTAAACACAGCAGCATCCTGGCTAACTTGAGCTCCACTGATTGTGGGGCTAAGGCCTTTGCATATGTCAGAGATTTTCTCTCTAAACGCCAGGCACTTCTTCGGATCGAGGACGAGGAATATGGCCCGTACATTATGGGAACACGGGGTACCCCACAGGGAGCAGTGTTATCACCACTCCTTTTCAACATTGCTATGATGCGCCTTCCAAGCGAATTGGCCAGGGTGGAAGGCACACAACACGCAGTATATGCCGACGATATTACAATCTGGACCACTGAAGGGAGCCTTGGTGAAATGCAGGAACGCCTTCAGCAGGCCGCATCCATAGTCGAGGCGTATGCCAACGATTGTGGACTCCAATGTGCTCCAAACAAATCAGAGCTTCTGCACGTTAGAGCGAATCCAAGAGATAAGTCAGCCATACACATCTCCCTGTCTGGGGTTCCCATCAGAGAGGTGGAGGAGCTCCGAATTCTGGGCCTGTTCATTCACCACAGACTCAGACCGGACTCCACTATAGCGAAACTCAAGAGAATAGGCGAACAGGTAGGGCGCATGATCCACCGCGTTTCCAACAAGCGGGGTGGTCTGCGGGGCAGAGACGCGCTTCGGCTCGCGCATGCCTTCGTGACTAGCCGAATCCTCTACGCCGTCCCATACCTTCGCACTAACAAGCAAGAAGACGAAAGAATAGATGCCATCATTCGTAAGGCTACTAAACGAGCTCTGGATCTCCCGGTGGCCACTTCCAACGCCAAACTGAGGGCGTTAGGTGTGCTCAACTCCTACCAGGAGTTGCGGGAGGCCCACCTTATGAATCAATATACGCGGCTCGTGCAGACGGCTCCCGGGCGCCGCCTGCTAAACCGCTTACATATACAGCACACTTGCACTGCAGAGGAGGCGGAGCGTATTCCGGAACTGTGGCGGCATATGCTCTCGGTCGCTCCACTCCCCAGTAACATGGATAAGCACACGCACGAAAGCAGAAGACAGGCGCGGGCTCGGACGCTTGAGAGGCAACACGGCTCCCGACCTGGTGTATTCTACGTAGATATAGCGGGGCCTTCGCCCACGGGATTTTACACGGCCTCTGTAGTTCACCGGGAAAAGCATGTCAATGGGCTCTCGTTCCGAGCACAAAATCCAGAGCGCGCTGAGGAAGTCGCGATAGCGCTTGCTGCTGCGGACCCCAACTCGAAAGTTATCATCACGGACTCCCGGAAAGCATGTGCTCATTACTTGGTAGGAGAGATATCCCCCCTAGCCAGCCAAATTCTAAAACGGGCTCTCGCTGATCCAGCCCCGAAACGCATCGTATGGGCTCCTGGCCATCAGGGCCTACGAGGTAATGAGGCCGCTGACGCGGCCGCCCGAGCGCTTACCCACCGGGCTCCTCACCTTGGCTCTTATGACTCGGAGGCCAATACACCGCTGCTGCGGTTCAAAGAAATTCTCACCTATTATCGTGACACTCACCGCCTTTACCCGGCTCCTGCGAAGGGGCTGAGTAAGGCGGAAGAGCGAACTCTAAGGCGCCTGCAGACAGGTACTCTACTCTGTCCTGCAATCCTAAAACATTTCGATGCGAACACAGATGGGCGGTGCCCACACTGTGGGGAGACGTGTGATATCTTCCACATGGTATGGGCATGTCCGAAAAATCCCCACCTACCCCCTTCCCCTACCCCTTCCCGAGAGGCATGGGAGACTGCCCTCCTCAACTGCTCATCACTAGAGTCTCAACGGGCTCTCGTGAGACGGGCGCGAGTAGGGGCCTCGTCATGCGGTGTCCCGGACTAAGGACGCCGACCATGTAGCAGGGTCATGCTTTGGCCCTGTACCTCTCTCTTTTACAATAAATGTTTTTCATCATCATCATCATCTCCGTAACAACAACCTACGGCCAGAAGGAGCATTTTTGTGTTCGTATTTCATAAGATTATGCTTGGCAATTTTCTAAAATTTTTTTCTTGGTGTGATTCGCGTGAATAGTCCATTGGACGCGATAATGGGGTTTCACCAAGCCCGAAGCTAGCCCCCCCCCCCCCACCCACCCTTTGCAATTCCGATGGTGGGGAGTGTTTTACCGAGGAAGAATGATAAAAATAGGTGCTTTTCAAAGTCTTAAATAAATGCCCCCACCCCCCCACCCCCAAATAATTGCTGGCCATGGGCCTGGTTTCACTAGAAATGTTTCTGTCATCGCGAACCCCGCTTACTAACAAGCTTTGTTTTATGTGCTAATGTTCTGTTTACTACTACTACCGCTACTACTACTACTACTACTACTACTAATGTTGTTGTCCACCCGTGCAGGGAGAAGTTAGTTTGCAAAAAATTAAAAAAAAGTAATATGTCGGCGTAATGTTTGCTGCTATCGGGGACGCTATATAGTTGCTGGCCATACGATTAAGCGTATACTAGAAAAAAACGAGCGTGCTTCTTCATATCGCGGTTGCACATCGCCATACGCGCAGCTCTGCGTGTCTGCGTAACCCACGCACCCCATTCGGAGTTGGTAAAGAAGCCTAAAGAGAATTATTTTCGGGTTAGAATACAGTTAATTTCTACACTCGCTTAGTACATTTGTAAAGCTGCAGTACACCAGAAATTGGAATCCTAAAAAAAAAAAAAAACGTTGCCCTGAAATGTTACGCATCTCGGCTGCATTCAAAAGAAGTGCCGTAAAAATTATTTGGTCCCAAGGATCACACCTTTTTTTTTTGAAATTACATGCGGGTAGATACAATTGGCTGAAAAGTTGAAGGCAAAAGAAAAAAAATAACTAGAAAAAAATCAAACCTCTTTCTCAAATCTTGTAGCACTCGCTCTGTGTTCTGTTTTGCTCCTTCATTTTCGTCTGTGTCGCCCTAATTTTTTTCTATTACCCATCTTCTTCTGTATATATAACCCTTTATTTAGTCTATTTATTGCCTGATCCTGAACTAAAAGGAACGCCTTGAACTCATCCAGGGGACAGTTGTCAGCCTGTTGCCTCCATATTTTCTTTGCTCCCTTTTCTATACATATAACAAAACAACAATATTTCTGCGTCTATATGCGACTGAATGCATTCGTGGTCATAATACATTATACCTGCAGCCGTAGTGATTTTGACATATAATAATAAAGTCATTTCCTGAAAATTTGCATCTACGACTACAAGATGTTGCATTCAAAGGCTGAAGAAATGGTATGAGGACATGGATCATGAATTCCGAACTTTACTCGTTGCCTGCATGAAAGAAGGAATTAAAATAATTGATTTGCTAACAAGCATGCTCTAAACATGTGCCAACATCGAAAATACCTAACGGTAAATATTTTACTCTTTATTTATTTACAGAAAACCTGCGTCGCCTCGTAGGCATTATCGCATGGGGAGACACGTTTCGTACCAGATATGCTACATGTTTTACAGTGACGGGCAACAAAAAATATATAAAACAAGGTTAGCACTAAGCTAAGCAAGATGAAAGTATAATTGGTTGACGTGTTCAAAGGTAACAAAAAGCTTACACAAAAAACTAGGACTTTGTAAACACAATCGGGAACGAAAATTGTGACAGTCAGGTACATGAATGAATACTCTTCTGGTAACAAGTACCACTTTCGAACAGATTGCTAGAAAAAAGACTTGGAAATTGGTTTGTGTTACATCTATATGCGTGTAATTTGTTGGAACGTTAAATTATACGAAAATTTGTTGAGCCGTTTGTATATGGAGATAGTATTGAAATTATGAACTAGTGGCACGCTTCAAGCGGGAGTAACCTAAATTATTTGGTAAGAAGAGGAACCGACCAATGGGCTCGAGTTTTAATAGACACATGGGAGTAACGACATATCCCCTCACAAATATAACTTCATACGGCTGCAAATAAATATATAAGAATGGGCAAGGAAGTAACGACTCATAAAAACACATCAATACTGTTGCGTACAATCCGTCCTCGATGATCATCATCCCATGCAAGATTGTGAGCATAGTATTTACGCCATATACGTCTCACCGATCTTTCAGTTCCCAAAGTCAAGAAAACACATATGCACATGCCCAAGGCGAAACATATCGGTGAGTACATGAAATCTTGTTCTAACCCGCGGTAAACGCTATGTTGAGTTAAGAAACAAAGAGTCTTACTGCACTGTGATGAATTGCAGCGTTTTTCATATATCTTTCTCATATCTTTCCAGCCCCTCATACTTCACCCCGCCTTGATCATGCGCACAAGGTGGCCCCCATTTTTGCTAGGACCAAGAAGTTTCAAAATTCGCCACTATCATTATGCATAATCGAGTGGAATCCACCTAACATCGCCGAAATTACAGATCCTTCCATATTTAACTCCATGCTTCAGGGCTATTTGCATAGTGAAAAACATGGCTGACCTGTGTCTGATTGCCCTCGTTTCGTCTGCTGTTTTTGCTCCCGATACTTATTCAGTGTTCTTCGATGTAATTTTCTTAAGTGTTTTCATTATTATTGTACTAATGAATATGTACTCGATTAATGTTGGTGAACGTACTTGACTTGATCCTGTGATTCGATTTACTCGCTGTTTCCTTTTTATTGTTACTTTTTGGTATTCTGTTTTCCGTTCATGTTGCTTGAAATGTATGTATTCACTTAAATCCCCCCCTATGTAATGCCCAATTGGGCTTTTAGGGTATTGAAATAAATAAATAAATAAATAAATTTTGTTTCACTGATTTCGAGTAGGCCGCGGGAGCACTCTGTATGCACTCCTCGCACTCCAATAACGCCAGTGTGGGACGTCACGAGCGATTGCTCTGTGCTCGCGGTCTCGTCGCGTCAGCTCCTCTGACGAAAGCACCGCTAGAAGTGTCGATTATTTCACAAAAATGCACGGGTGTATTCTTGTTTTGACAAAGATAATGCTGAATTGGTGTTACAAGGCCTTGGATGCCTCACCCAGCGCCTCTTCTATTTTTTTAGATGCTAGCCAGGTGCGCCTGATTCAACTGTTCACCACCCTCCCCTCTGGCTCTTTCCTACTTTCACCCAGGCTTAGCGTGTGCATTGCACTCATGGAAAAGAGTACCTTTTTGCGGGTGACTCAGGACGGAAATCGGATGAAGTAATATTTAGTCAAGTTGCGTGTAGAATCGTGGGGCGCCATGTTGCATTGCTTATGTTCACTATATTGGTGGTCACGCTAGCTCTTTAAGAGGCATGGTGTTTAGAGACAGCGCATCTCTGTTCGTGGCGCTATGCAGGGAAGCGTCATTGTGAGGCTGCTGCATGCGATGATTTGAAGAGGTAGTACATGATCGCTGGATAGCCGATCATGTACCACATCCTATTGACCAGTGCTAGACAGGATAACCGCTGGTCATTAAGAATAACAGACTGGATTCCAAGGGAGTGCAATTGCAAGAGAGGCAGACAGAAATTAACGTGGGCAGATGTAATTAAGAAGTTTGCAGGTATAACGTGGCAACAGCAAGCACAGGAACGGCTTGATTGGCGGAATGTGAGAGAGGCCTTAAATATGGTTCAAACGTTATCCATCGAATGACAATATTTCAATATTTCTTCGCCTTCCTATAAATAAATATGTTGACAGACAGCGGTGTGTGCTGTATATTCTTAGTACCGTCGTCAGCGCTTTTTCGCCGCAATGTTTGTACAATCAGTTCCTGCGCTGCCCTCTGCCGTTTTGGTAGCGTTTTGATTGAGTCCAGGACAACTGGTATTGTCAGAAGCAAAGCCTCCAAGGTGTTCCGCGACTTTCCTGCTAGCGGAAGGGCGCACGCGTAGCGCTGCTCTCGACTGCCGCTAATGTAAGCAAATGTCGCGTACAGACTAATGGGCACCTGCTCACGTGGTGCGTCACGTGCGCGTCGGCGAAAAGGTGGACCTTCTCGCCCAAACGCTATACGCGTGGCGAAGTGATGAAGCGTCGTGGTGCGACTTCTTGGAAGTATAGCGTGACTTGCCTGCACCTCCGAGCATATGCATATATATATATAGATATATATATATATATTATATATATATATATATATATATATATATATATATATATATATATATATTATATATATATATATATATATATATATATATATATATATATATATATATATATATATATATATATATATATATATATATAGGTTCCCGGCAGTGGACCAGAGGGCGCGACGAAGCTCTTTGGGCCGCCTCAGCATTGTTGGTACCGACCGCCAGGGATACTAAGAAAATGGAACGCTCGCTGAACACAGTGACACGCTGAAGTGTCAGTGCCCTTTTTGGCACGTTTCCAAAGAACGCTTCCTGGCCGCTTACATAATCAGCCGTGACCGCTTGCTAACAACTAAAAAAGAGAATGATATGCACGTGCAAGTTCGGTTTTGCTGCGTCTACTCGCAAGGCTACGCATTGGAAGACTCGGTTTTGTTGTGCCTACTCGCTAGGCTGTGTGTTCTGGCGCTACCATCAGATTTCGTAAACTGCATTGCCGGGTGCCTATATCCCGGACTAAGCACAAAATGATGGAAATCAGATGCAGAGTCTACCACAAAAGATTACGAACCACGTGAGCACGTGTCCATTAGCCTGTTCGCGACATTTCCTCTACGTCAGCGGCAGTCGACAACAGCGCTGCGCCCAGGACGATGCACCCCGCGATATATCGATGGCCTGGCTATTTTCTCACTAGATACGAATATTTTACACCTTTAACATTTAAACGCCTTGCACGTTTCCGCAGCCATGTCCAGAGAAGCCTACCAGCATAAGTGTTACCTGTCACCACCTTCTCAGGAAGTGATATCTAAACAATGGCTCACCATTCGCAGCACGCAGTTGTTGCTTTGATTCCGCTATAGAAGTGTGGCGCTCATATCGCACATAAGCGCTTTGATTGAAAACAGCACAGTCAGTGTTCTGCGTGGCCGCGGAAAACTGATGTACCAGTGTATAACAAGAGGAACCATTTGCAGCTCATCACTGCTGTCGACAGTAGATGGCGTACCGCAGGGTGGCGTTGACAGGCAGCTTGATTGCTTGATTGATTGATTTGTGGGGTTTAACGTCCCAAAACCACCATATGATTATGAGAGACGCCGTAGTGGAGGACTCCGGAAATTTTGACCACCTGGGTTCTTTAACGTGCACCCAAATCTGAGCACACGGGCCTACGACATTTCCGTCTCCACCGGAAATGCAGCCGCCGCTGCCGGGATTTGAACCCGCGACCTGCTGGTCAGCAGCCGAGTACCTCAGCCACTAGACCACCGCGGCGGGGCAGCAGGCAGCTTGACATAGAGTTACTGTATGTGCGCCGCTTTTAAATGTAGCATGTGAAGTAAATCTAGTTTGTCCAACGCTCGCTTGGTCCGCAAACTTTCCTGGTCAACCGTACAGCACTACGGTTCCATGTACGTATACCTTTGGAACGTATCTATTTGCCTTTGGAGTGTCACTATTGAAAACTGCAGATGAAAAGTTAGAGTCCAAGGTGTTTCAGCTTCAGTGACATATTGTGAAAATGCATTGAGAACTCGGAAGCAGAATTTCTGAAAAAGGTATATCTGAAAAAGCGCAAGTAACGAAGTCATGATTAAAGGGTGTGCGCAAAAGACCACGCTGTTTCAAAATCGAACCAGATATTTGTGAAGAAACACACATGAAAATATTGCATGTTTATAGTGCTTTGCCTTTTGTATTCGTCACTGTAAACCACCACTGTGCCGAGGTGTTTGAATCGTCATAAGACAAAATAAACTCTTTTAAAACACAAAGCGCCATTTTGTCGCCGAGCAAGCAACAAACGGGACACCTAACTGGGGGAGTGGCTCTGCGCCCTTCTACTCGTCAGTCAGCGTCTCTATAGCAGCCGCGTCGGCTATACATGGTGTCCTAGAATACAAACTTGTTTTGAAAGTATTCATATAGATTAGACATGCAAATATTCCCATTTTCTAAACATGGGTATCTAGCAGAGTGATAGACACTTACATTCAGACCGTGAGGACGGGGGTTCCAATAGCAGAATCGTAAATAAAACGTTTTTACCTTGTCCATATGTTTCTTTAAGGTGAATATTCTTCCACATCTCAGAAGAGATGATTGGTCTGAGGAGCAGCTCAGGACCAAAAAAAAAAAAAAAAGAAACAGAAGGGTGCACAGCTAGTGTCCCCTAGCCAACCTCCTCTAAAGCCGCTAGCTGCTCTCATTCGTGTCAAAGTTCCCACGGCGCACCCATATCATTTTCTTTTTTGCTGTGTTCATATAAACAAGCAAGTGTAATGACGAAAACCGAAACTGGAACTCTCTCTGGCACAGACTCGCATGCTAGGAAGGAAGAGGAGGAAGACGAAGCAGAATAAGAACAGCCGGCCTGCAGCAAAGGCGTTGTGTCTTATTTCTCGTCCTTACAATGGCGCAGTCGACGAAGAAAACGGCTTACGTCTCGGTTTCGTCATCCAGAACGCCCGCCGACGTGCAGCCGCGGTAAGCGTCGCTTGAGGACGGCGTCAAGCCCTCCTCGGCAGCTGTTTACTGACACCACCGTTCGGGGACGGCGTCAAGGCCTCCTCGCCGTCACGCTTCTTCGCTGATGGGACCCGCAAGGCGTCCGTCGCGGCCAGCATCGATCCCAGCACCGACGGATGGCGTCCAGGCCTCCGTTGTGGTTCCGGGAAACTTGTCCTGGGACGCGACACGTCGCGGCAACCATGCGCACGGGCCTCTCTCACCTAGGGATGGCGTACATGCCTCCTCCATACCTGGCAACCTGTCGGCGCTTCAAGCACCCACCGTGTACGGCGTCGAGGCCTACCCGGCGGCGCAAGACCGCTTCATCTACGCCACAGTACCAGGTCACAACTCATCACACGGGTTCCGCTTGCCTGGGAACGTCGTTGACGCTTCCAGCGCCCTGGAACCCATGTCCACGAATCCGACCACAGCTGGATTTCCAAGGGACGCCGTCCACGCGTCCTTGGTCAAGAATTGTACCACCTCGAATACCGCAGTCACTGTATCCTCCGCAGAGGCGGGCCTTGGCTCTTCGTGCGGATCACACGACAGCGCAGCGGAGCTGCAGCATACCATCGCGCAACTCCGTGTCACGACCAACGCCCTCATAGCGTCGAGTTCCAAGCTATGTCCTGCCATCTTGCCAACATTGTGCGCACTCAATGCCATGTTGGCTGCGGCCGCCGCACAAAACTTCGAGGTAAGCTCGCCCGAGAACCGTCGCAATCTCCGGCGTTCTCTCGCGGAGGTATCGGAGCAAGTGAACTGCTTGGCGGGGGCACATTTCGGAGTTCTGCCCGCCGTCCCGCCATCGCCGATTTCCTTCGCGCTACCGGAATTTCGCGGCTTCCAGGACGACGCCGAGGAATGGGTGGCAACCGTCAACGCTCTCGGAACGACTGAAGAGCAGAAGTGGGACATGGCCATAGATCGCCTGCGGGATGCTGCCGCAGCATGGCACAGGTACGAAGGCGTCAGGCAGCAGTCCTGGGCAGAATGGAGTGCAGCCCTGATTGCCGCTTTCGGACGGATTTCCTGTGACTCCAGCAAGTCCAGCTCGATCTTCCCCGAGGCCGAGGATGGAGCCCAGGCAGCGCCCCGCCTCGAGGCTGCAATCGTTCGT